CAATAATTCCTTAACGTTGATGAAGAATTACTTGTTCCAGATTATTTTGCAGATTATTTTTCCCGTACAGCATGTGAAATAATCTGCCATTGGAGCAAATACTTTTTATAAATATTCAGGAATTATTTACTTAAAAATAAGCTCCTAAATGTTGCTGAAAAGCTTCATGGAAATTAGTTTTGTCTTATTTTGAATGTAAAAATATTTGGTAAGATTTTGAGTTTTGCAGTGTTGGCTGAACTTTATTTAGAATAAAAAAATAATGATTTTCATTTGCAAAACACATTGAAAACTGTGTTTTAAAACTTTGTGTAATTATTCTTCCACTTGGAAAATAAACACAAATTTGTGTTGATCAACAGGTCAGTAAATAACATGTAACATAACAGGGCAGAGTAAAGGTATGAAAGGTATGAAAGTGTTAAATAACAGTCGTAAAGCTGTATTTTAACAAAACATCAATACTTCACAGATCAACAAACAACCCTGATGAAGGAAGAAGACCTACAGAAATGAGAACCAAAATCATTCTGAAAATGAAAGAAATCTGGAAAAATATCACGACAAAACAACCAAAATCCCTCAGATTGAAACACAAAGTAAAACTGAAAGTCAGAGAAACGAAGTGAGGAGAAGAAAAATCCTCCAAATCCGATAAAACTACAGAAAACAATGGAAAATCCTGTTTGTATTCCCAGTTTGTTCATTTTGCCGCTCCAGAACGACCCAACAGAACCCAGCAGAGCCCAACAGAACCCAACAGAACCCGGTAGAACCCAACAGAACTTAACAGAACCCAGCAGAACTTAACAGAACCCAGCAGAACCCAACAGAACCCGGTAGAACCCAGCAGAATGGGTACTGCTGGGTTAAAGGAAGGATTCCAGTAGCAGTCGGTCTTGCAGCGGCTGTAAAGAGGCATCTGACTGAAGTCTTGCTAGCAGTGAGACGACGTCCCGCTGCTCTGCTGATCCACATTGTTTGTGTTTTGCTTTTGCCACTCCTCTGTAAATCATCTGGCAGAGATGTGACTGGAAGAGAAGTTCTCAACTTCCTGCCTGCAACCATGGAGCCTCATTTTCAACTCCTCAAAGTTATAGTTCTGCAGAACTATAACTTTTCACACTTTTTGAGATGCTAATCAGCAATACCTTGTTGCCATGGTTACGCATCGCAGCAAATGGTTGAAAATAGAAGCAAAAATTCATGCAGCTGAAAAAAAAATGGATAAAAATCTGCTGCCTCCCCAGCCGTTCTGTTCCAGAATAGGGCTGCCCAAATGGTGGTGCGGGGGCCATCTGTGGCCCTCTGACGGATTTTGTGCGGCCTCCTGGACCTACAAGCCTCCCTAGTTGATGCTTTTTCACGTTTTAGTGCAAATCGTTTTACAGATAAATAACATCTTCTTAATTTGGTCCAGAATATTTGCTTTATATTATTATTGTTTTGTTGCTTATATAACAAAGTTTATGGTTTAAAATGGCTGCTCTGCAGCTAACAGAGGAGTTTATTTAGAGTCTAGGTGTTAATGGATGTTATTCATTTGTAAAAACTCTGAATTAAAACAAAACAAGTGAACATTTTCATCAAAATATGATTTCATAGCTTGTTTAAAGTGAGTAAAGTAAGTAAATGAAGGTTTACATGTAACTTACCTGAACCAGAACAGTTCAAAACAAAACATGCAAACATTGAGGCTGCATGCATGCAGTTCAAAAACAGCAGAAACTGAGATATTAACTCGATAAAAGATACAAAGGCCGAGCAGAATATGAGGGCTAAAAATATCCATTGAGAGGCTTCAGCTGAGGTGAAGGTTTACAAACGGAGCAGGAAACAAGAAGCAGACGTCACTCAAACTGTGACAAAAACCCAGAAACCCAGATCAGGCTTCCAGGGCTCACCAGCAGCTTTCACCTTTTTAACCAATTTACCTTCAAAATAGAAAATAAATTTTAATTTCAGAGTCAGGCGTCACCTTTGACATCTGACGTCCTCACCTCAGCTTCAGGTTCTCCATGAACTGCTCCATCGTCACCTCATCCAGCAGCACGAAGTCCGACTTCCCAAACTCCAGCCCCTCCAGCTCCGCCATCCCTGCCTGAGCGCCGCGAACACACCAGAACACACACCAGAACACACACCAGAACACACACCAGAACACACACCAGAACACACACCAGAAGACAGACAGAGGGGAAACTCAGGGAGAGGCCAAGAGAGAAGGAAGCAGAAAGAGAAGTGAGTTTGAACAGGGGGCGGCTGTAGGCGTGGCGTCACTTTCTCAACGCTGCGCGGCTGCGGCCTGCAGGCTGAAACACGTCATGCAGCGAGAGCTGCAGTCTGTCGATAAACGCTCTCAACTTCTGCATCCTCCTCTGGCTCGCTTCCTGCCAAATCTTCGCTCAAACATCCACCAACTCAAACCAATTAGTTTCAACCAGAGAAAGCAGAGAAACACCAGCTGACAGCAGAGCCGGCCAGACACCAAAGACATTTATTTCTGAGCAAATGCACTTTAAGGAGCATTTTTACTTTTTATGATCAAGTATTTCTGCTCTTATTACTGTAAAATTTCTTAATTTTCTACCCACTGACTGGAAACCAAACATGTTTTAACCAAAAACACACTTTTGTTAAAGTTTGACCTGGAAGGAAACCGATTTGGACACATTTGACTGTTTTTCTTGTTTCTTATATGAATAATTGTAATTTTCATCCATAAAACTTCCTCTCAGCTTTTACTGTGCGATTTTGATTTGATCATTTTCTCTGCACATTGTTTTATTCTGACTTGAGGTCTTTCTTGGACGCCTAGTCTTTCTTGGACGCCTAGTTTTCACTTTGGAGTATAAATATGTTGAGTTTTTGCTCCAGAAGTGTGTGAGCCAGAGCAGAACCGGGCTGGGCAGGATCTGAAACCACAGGTTGGGTTTCTCACCACCAGAAAGGAAACGTTCATTTAGGCGGGTTCATCCTTTACAAGAACCAATAGGTCAGAGTTCAGGTCAAACCATGAAAAATTCAGACTCGTCAACATTTATTCTCATTAGAAATGTTTCTGTTTTAACTCAATACCAGAGTTATTGTGAAATAATAACCTAAAATAATAATAAGTGAACTTTTTTATCACTTTCTGCAGATGTTAAGCTTTTGTTGGAATCACCTTTAATTTGTAAGACTTGACTCAGTCAGCTTCTTTTCTTTTAGCAAAAAGTTAGGATGAATATCAGAAATATTCATAAGATAATGATATAAACTTTGAACATGTCCAGCATGTGTGGGGTCTGCACAGCTTCTCGCTGCCTTTTCACTTTGACCCTGGTGGTTTGAAACAAACATGATTTACAAACAAATCATGTCGGTAAAAATGTGGATGTTGATTTTCTAGAGATGATTTTATTGGAAATGAAAAACTTAAAGAAATGAAACAAGATTCTCAGTTTCAGTTTTTTTAAACCTCCAGTTATTTGGCAGCAGAGGAAACTTGATGGACATCTGGAGGCCCAGAGAGATGAAGTTCATCCCTTCATAGATGAACTGATTAAGAGTCTGAGCTCCAGTTTATCTCCTCTGCAGGTCCAACGTGTCTCTGCAGCTCGTTCTCATCTCTTCAAGCCCAGACAGGAGCGACGCTGCGAGTGACTCAGATCTGGGATTTTCCAGGATCGAGCTTTTGACTTCAGATTAAACCAGATTAAGGCAAAAATCTGACAGTTTGAACTTCATATGATCCTGGGATAAGAATATTTATCTAGTGGAAATGCACCGCTGACCCTTCAGCTCCAAATCCTGAACCAAAATATGTCAGAAACAACTTTAACAGGAGGAGGAAAGTTAGACTGCAGCGCCCTCTGGTGGACACAAGAGGACACGCATGTTGAAACATTTACAAAATTATACAGAAATATTATTAAAGTATGTTTTATCATAGAAAGTATCGGAAATTTAGGATTAATCAAGTGATATTGGTTTGAGTTAAATGGGTTACATCAATAAAAAACTTTTAAGCGATAAACCAAATATCCTGGAAGTGTTAGAAACTTTAACTTGTATTTTCCAGGAAAATATTCAGCAGGTTTCTGAATTTTTAACCAAAAAACAACCTGTGACTGAAAACTAAACACTGAAATATTCACTTTGTTCAGATTTGGTTTTTTTTTTAATTATTTATGAATAATAATATTTACTGATATTAAACCAAGTTTCGATGTGGATAAAAGACTAAAACACATAACTATATGAATTTTCCCAAAATTAGAATTAGGAAAGAAGAAGGCACAGATAACAGCTGAATCTCACGTTAACAGTCCATAAACCATTCAGACGCTTCAAATATCAAATTTATTTTCACCTAAATTAATCCAAACTCAAAAGTGGGCTGGACGCGATCAGAACCAGGTCAGAACCGGGTCAGAACCGGGTCGCTCGGGTGCTGTGAGAAAGTTGGATATCGTCAAATAAAAGTTGGGTCGGATCCGCTCACTGCGTGAACGCAGTCAGGAAACGGATGGAGATAAACTTAGAGACAGATTTCAAAACAAAAAATGGAAACGCCTGAAAGAAACTAAAGGAATGAAGAAATATGGAAAGACTTTAGTGACAATAACTGTGTATGGCAAGACCTAAATGACAATAATAAGCAACCCAGAAATGACCCATGGATTGTTGCAAAAACAGTAAAAACGTAATAAAATGATTATAAAAACATAAAAACGTTTCTTCTGCGTGATGCAGGTTGAACTTTTGGCTCCGATTAGTCAGACTTGCTCTGGATCACATGAACTGGAGAGGTTCAGTTTGTCTGATTCTGAACCACCCCGAGTTCTGCTGACCCAGGCGAACCGAACCAGAACGGTTCTGGCGGACTGAAGGACACCTACCGCCTCCGCAGCGTCCATTTCGTTCCCGGCGATTCGCGGCGCTCCTCGGGAACCAGACGGTGCGTTCAGTGAACCGGGCGGCCGTTGTGTAACCTCAGCTGCCTTTCAGATCCTCCATCAAACTTCCTCTGGGTCACTTCCTCTCCCCGCTTCCCGCTGGCGCTCCGTACGCGTCACCGAGTCACACTCAGGTGTTGCAGCAACATTGACGACGTCAGAGGAAATCAGTTTTATTTAACAGCCAAACATTCAGTGACTCCGTCACAGTCTCAGTGTTTTAAACCATTTTAGTGCAAATATTCTGTCACCAAACAACCGAAACGATGAAGATCTTCAAACTTTATCTGAATAAATCGCTTCATTTTGTTAAAACTCTCCTTTTTTCTGTTGTTGGATTTGTGCTTTTGATTTAAATTAGATTCCAAATAAGTTTTAGGAAAATCATTTACAGCCGAGATGATTAATCGTGATTAATCGATTAATCATCATTAATCGATTAAATATTGAAATTATGGTAATTTAGCAGTTGATTCATTGTTAACTGGAGTTAAAAAAGCCTATTTGATAAAACAACAGAGAACAGAAACTAAAACTAAACAATAAATGTATATAAATTTTGCATGTAAGATGAAAAACCTTCTTTCACACAGAACTCAAGTAGTTTTAGCTTCACCTGATTCTGAAAAAATAACTTAGGTTTTTATTTGCATCTTTTAATTAATTTCATAAGTTATATAAAAAAGGTAAAAACGATTGTGCAGTCTGTTTATCGATTAATCGTCAGAACAATTGATTACTGGAATAATTGTTGGTTGCAGCCCTAAAATTACTTGAAAAACTGATCAAACTTTGATCTCAGCTACATTCCTTTCATGTCTTATTGCAGAAACTTCCAGGATATTTAAGCTCATCATTTATCCTGAATTGGGATTATTTTAGTGCAGTGTTGATTCAGGTTTTTGTAGAAATAATTACTTGTCCTATTTTTTCTTTCTCTTAAGCAAAACTCTTACAGCTTTTCCCAAAGACCGAAAGATGCCGCCTCTGTTTCGGCCTTCTGCAGTCTGAACCTGGTCGTCTTTTCTTCTCAGTTTTTCTTCTTCCTGTTTCGCGCGGGACTCCGACAGGCTCCGCCCTCGTGGCGTCTCCGGTCCGCCGGCCCTCCGAGAGGAAATCTCTCCGCCAGCTGCTGGACTTCTCTGACTCCTGGTCGGCACCGATCTGCTCCTCTCCCTCCGGGTCCGATCGGCCGGCCGTCCTCTGGCTCCTGATTGGTGGACTGGGCCCCCCTGAAGGCTCTGCTTCAGGTCGTAGCTCTCTTTGGACGGGCCGACCAGGTGGAGTCTGTCGTTCTTCTCACACACCAGAACTAAATTTAAGGATTTGTTGTTTTCTTGGGTTCTGGCTAGAAGCCGTTTTCCTTCGGCGCTGAGGTCCGACAGAAGGACTTCCTGGGTCCGGAGGGTTCTGCGCAGGTCGTCCAGGAGCCGCTGCAGGTTTGCAGACACCGACCCGGAGTCTGGACCCTGCAGGGTGATGATGATGTTTTCTTCCTCTGCCTTCACGTCATGTTGGACGTCTTGCCGGGTCAGGAGGTCATCCAGCTGCTGCTTCCTGAACCGCTTGGCGTACATGAAGACATCAGAGTCGATCACAATCACCTCACTCGGAGTCCGATAATCCGGCGCCTGGTGGTTTGGACCGGCGGAGGTTCTGGGGCCCAGAAAGGCCGAACGTCTCCGTGTGGAACCTGGACCTGCGTTATTCCTGCTGTGCTTTGAAATCGCTCCGGAGGAAGCGGGCGGCAGGTCCGAGGCCTCCAGGAGCCGCTCCAAACGGGCCTTCACCGCTTCGAGGTCATGGAACAAACCCGCGACACGGACCCGACCTCGGTCCAGATCCGTCACCTCCAGGCCGAACGACCGGAGGAGCCGCCGGACCTCCCGCTCATCCTGGAACCGGTCGATGAGAACCGTGGCCTCGACCCGGATCTCCATCTGCAGAAACAAAGAAAAACATCAACCTGATCACTAGTCAATAAATCTGCTGAGAAAATCTGCAGGGAAATCAGTCGGATCAGGTGATCTGGGAGTTTTGTCCCATTTGGAACCCCGTAATAATTTCATTTCCACACTTCTGGTGCAAAAGTTTCTTTATCTGTTGTTTTCTTAAAGCCCAACCTTTACACACACACACACACACACACACACACACACACACACACACACACACACACACACACACACACACACACACAAATACACACACACAAACCTGGTCACGTGATCAGGTAATTAATCTGCTTTTCACTCTCAGCTTGTTTTTGACTTTTCTCATATTTTATATCAACATGTTTTGTTTATTTCCTTCAGTCTGAACGAGTCAACGAAAGTGAAACTACCTGTCAGCTGTGTGTGTGTTGGTGTGTGTGTGTTTGGTTCTTTCTGGACCTCAGAAACCGACCAACAAGAACCTTAAATATAGGAATTAAAAATGTAATGCATATACAGACACAATGAAACGAGCATATTTCCCCCAGACGTGACAAACAATAAATTATTTTCAGTTTTCCAGTCGCAGCTTCAGCATTTAGACTGAAAAGCTGAAAACATGTGGAGAAGCTGAAACTTACTGGAAACTTTACTTCTCTTTACTTCATTGCTTCACTCCTGGGCGACTTGACAGTGGGACGAAAACGAAACCGCTGACGTCATATCCGATCCAGACCAGTTCGACCACAAACCCAGAACCAGAGATGCGGAAGTGGTTTCAGAGCGGAAACAGAAACTCCTCAAACCATGGAGACAGTGAACTAAATACCGCAATAAACTTAATCATTTCAGATCCCCATATGTCTTTAAAGTTAAAACTTAATACTTAAAATTAATAAAATGTTTTTATTTTTCTTAAAAATATATATTTTATGAACTTGGAGGAAAATCGCTCGTGAATTCCACGCTGCGCCGCTAGGGGTCACTACATCCCACATCACTACATTCAACTGCTCAGTATCTGGACAAATATTTTAATATTAAAGGCTAATTTCACTCAAATTTTTCATTCATTTCATATTTATGTTCGTAATAGTTTAAGTCTTGCTCTTTTTTAACATATTTGCTCACTGAAAATTAATTGTTATGACTTTCTGATCCCTTATTGATGTTTAAAAAGCTAATAGTTTAACAAAAACTCAATTCTGTAAAATGTTTAATTTTCTGTGCAAATGAGTAAATTCAGGATGTTTTTCTGTCCAAAACTATTATACCTCTGATAAGTTTAAACGGCTGGCAACAGCAGAAAATCAAATATTTGACTTAACAATGAATAAAAGAACAAATAGATAAATCAAGTCAACATAAAGACACATAATTATACAATGAGTGCATCTTGTTTTTATCATAACAAAGCAGCAGCATTTATCTCTAAAAATCACTCCAAACATTTTTTTTTAATTCTTGAAGTTGAAAACCAATAAAGACTCATTTTCAAATAATGTAGCAAATTTTAATATTAACATACAGAAAACCTGCACATTTTAACATCAAGGAACACACCACTAGGTATATTTTAAACATGAAACATTTTTCTTAAACGGGACAAATATTATAGCATACCGCAGAAGATCATTGTGAAAAAAAAAAGAAAAACAAAGTTATAATTTGCAACATCATCATTTCTCCTCCAAAAAAGAGAAAACTTATTTTAACCCACTTATACCCAAAGCATCACATAATTCGGTAACTGCCAAAGTTCTTTTAAAGTATAAAAATGTTTTAGAAATCAAATTTTCTTCCCCAAACTTGAAATATTTGGGAAACACTTTTTATAGGAGGTGGTTAAATAATTTTATTATGACACTAAACGAGAGATTTTACCTAATTTCCTACCGATATAAAATGAAAATCCTAAGCTAGGTGTGTGTACCTGCATGCAGAGTGGACGACGACTCACAACACGGTTAAAAACATTTCCTAAAAACCAAAAGAACTTCAGGCAAACAGCCACAAATAAGAAAAAAAAACATTTCAGGAACCTGGAAAAGATGGTCCCAAACCTAAAAAATGTGAAACAAAATGTAGAAAAACCTACAGATGAATTCAGGACTAACTAGTTTTCGGGGAAAGTTTTGTCTCTTATTCCTCCTCAGAAGATTTTTCTGGGTTTTCTGCCGTCGATTTTTCTTCGGTCTCTTCTTGTTCTGTGGAGAAGAAGCCAAGCTGTTAGCGTTAGCGTCCTCAGTGGCTGGCTGCAGGTGTCATGGCGGCCGGCGTGAAGATTCACCTGTTGTGGGTTTTGTGGCGGCTGCAGCGGGATCTTTGTCTTCAGCATCACACCTCTGCAGAGCGACTTTCACCTTTCTGGTCACTTCTGCGTGTCTGGCTGTTTGGATCGCAGCCTCCTCGTCTGAAATGCTGCTCGGAACGTCTGAAACAAAAACACCACCATGACCAGGAAGGAACAAACTCCAGTCCTCTTAGCTACAAACAATTTCTATACACACATTGGAGAACCACAGGGTCGAGTGCTCGGGCCTAAAACTTCACTTTACCTGAAAAACCTGAGCTATCTCTGCAGCTGTGGGCTTCCAACCCTGCTACGTTCTCCTGCTACTCTCCACTTTGCTCTATGTGCTGTTATTTCAGCTTCTAGCTTTTTTCTCTGCTGTTCCTCTGTAGAAAGTAACCCTGGTTCCTTCATTCCCTCAGCCGGTGGCCGCTCTTGCTGATCCGGAGCCGTTGGAGGATTCTTCTCCAGTTGTTCCTCTCCACTGTCACTGCATGCTTTCTCAGAATGAGGGAAAGCACTGAAGTCATGACTCAGGTCAATCTGCTGCTTCCTAACTGACCTAAACTTTAGTGTCAGAAAAATGTAGCAGTTTGATCACATAGAGCGCAGATAAATTGTTTCTTTAACATGTTTTCTGGAAACATGAAAAGTTTAAGTGACAAATAAAATATTTGTTAATGAAAAAAAAACAAAAAACATCTGAAACTGAAATAAAGTGAAAAAAGATTTAAACAAAAAAAGATTTGCAACGGGAACACAAACTGAAAATAAAAAACAAAAAATAAGAAACAAAGAAAAATAAAAGATTAAACTGAAAAGAACTAAAAATATAATTTACAACTGGAAAAAATATTTTGAAGCTTAAAAAAAACAAAGCATATAAAATAATGCAAAACAAAAAAAAAGTATTTAAAACAGAAAAATAATTTGAAAGTAGAAAAAAACATTTGAAGCTGAAAAAAAAATTAAACCAAAAGACAACCAACCTGTTTGAAAATGTTTTTCAGATCCAATTTCATTTTGAATAAAAATAAAAATTATGGCTCCAATTTAGCTCCATAAAATTGGGCTATTTTTTTTTCATCAGACTGCAGGTACAAAAGTAAAAGTGTTTTTTAAATGACTTTATTTCTGAGATCTATTTGAGGTTTTCAGGGAACCTGGTGACTGAAGCTGGACTTTTTCAGCCTTTTTGTCCCACATTTTGTTTTAAAATAATTTCCAAAAAGTAAAAGTGAAACTGGGTTTTTACCTTTCCATGTTTTCTGCTTCTGATTCCTCCGTTTCCGGGTCGAAGCTTTTGTTCTGCTCTTTGTTCTCCGGTTGGAGCGATTCGCCGCAGCTTCATCATCTGAGCTGTCGTCATCATCCCAGTTTCCTGCCAGGGTAAAGCAGCAAACGTTAAAACGAGTGATTGGCAGCGGTTGGCCTGTATCTGCTGCTGCAGAACCTGAGGACTTCTTCGACGGTCTTCCTCGCGGCCTCTTGCTCTTTGTGGATTTCCGACCCGGTTTCCGCCGGGGAGAACCGCCGTCGTCGGAGGACGAAGCGTCTAAGAAGCAAACCGGCAGGTTAGCGGCTAAGCTGATCGCAGAGGGAATCGAACCGGCAACCGGATCACCTTTCAGGGATTTTCGTTTAGAAGCCGTCGCTCTCCTTGATGAATCGTTGGTCGTCTCCTTGGTCACCAGCAGCCGCTCGTCATCAGAGCTGTGCTCGCTGGACGTCTCGGCGTAGTTCACTAAAAAACAGTTCAAATGAAATCAATCTGTTCGTTTAAATCAAGAGGGAAGGATTTCTAAAGAGGAAGAGTCGAGATTTAAAACTGAAAATAAAGATTTGAAACTAATAAAATGATAAAAAATTAAAACAAAAACAGGAAAAAAGATTTGAGACTAAAAAAAATGACTTGAAACTAAAAATAAATTGCAAACAGAATAAAAAATCGAAACATAAAAAGATCTGAAAAAGAAAAACATTTAAACAAACTGAGAAAAAGATTAGAAGCTGAAATTAGGAGGAGAACATTGTGAAAGGAAGATTTGGGCTCACCGCTCTGCCTGGAGGCGTTCCTCTTGGATTTCACAACCGGAGAGGATTTAGAAAACAGCTGGACGGGTTTCCTCTTCCTCTTCGCAGGAAGTTTCTGAGCAACTTCGCTCAATGGCTCGTCGTCGGAGCTTTCGTCGCGCTCTGACGGCGCTGCAGCAGAAAATAAAACCGCTTTAATCATAGGGATGAGAAAACAACCAGAAAGATAGAAAGTCGACCCACCTTTCTTCTTCCTGCCCGCCGGTTTCTTCTTCCTGCCTGCTGGCTTCTTCTTCGCTGCTCTGGGTGAAGGTTTGGAGGTTTTCACCTGATGATCGTAGTCAGAGTCGTCATCTGCGTTTGAATCTGAGGAAACAAAACAAGTAAATATTCGCGGCGCCTCGGGGAGCTGAGCTGCAGGAGCATCAGGATGTGGAGCATCACCAGAGTTTCTGTCCTCGGACTCGTCAGATCTGGGAGGAGAAGGTTCCTTTCTGTCCTTCGCTGCTGGTTTCTTCTTCTTGCTCAGCGGCTCCTCGTCGGAGTCGTCTGGAGGATTCAGAGGAAAATCAGAATGAAACAAAAACAGATTCTACGCTATCAAAATAAAGCTACGAAAATGAAACTGAAACAAATTAAAACAATAAAAAAAGACTTAAAACAAACAACACAGAAAAACAACAACATGACAAAATCTGATCTGGTCTAGTCAAAGTCCAGCCCACTGTTGTACTGAAATGCTGCACATATAATTGCTGCGTATGCACAAAAACCATTGTGGTGTGAAAATTTGCATAAATACATAGAAACTTTTCACAAAGTACAGAAATAATTAACATGCAGAAACATAACAGATAAATCCAGGAAATCATTGTTTTATAAAATATCAGCAAAGAATGATTAGAAAACGTCAATCAGGTGTAATTTATTCTAATCAGCTTTAGTGGCAGCAGCAGAATGAAATCCCACCTTTCTTCTTCCTGCCTGCTGGCTTCTTCTTCACTGATCTGCCTGGAGGTTTGGAGGTTTTCAACCGGGGATCGTAGTCGGAGTCACCGGCTGCGTTTGAATCTGAGGAAACAAAACAAGTAAATATTTGCGGCGCCTCGGGGAGCTGAGCTGCAGGAGCATCAGGATGTGGAGCATCACCAGAGTTTCTGTCCTCGGACTCGTCAGATCTGGGAGGAGAAGGTTCCTTTCTGTCCTTCGCTGCTGGTTTCTTCTTCTTGCTCAGCGGCTCCTCGTCGGAGTCGTCTGGAGGATTCAGAGGAAAATCAGAACAAAACAAAAACTGTCAAAATAAAACAAAAAATGAAATCGAGAAAAATATTTAACTGGAAAAAATTTTAAACTGAAGAAAAAGGATTTGAAACAAAAATTCATCTAAAATGCAAAATAATGAAACTGAAAAAAAGAAACTAAAACTACAAAAGGACTTAAAACTGAAAATTAAACTCGAAAAATTCAACTAATACTAAAAACAAGATTTAAAACAAGAAAATGATTTGAAAGAAGAACTAGAGAAAAGCCCAGATGCTAATCTGGTCTAGTCAAAGTCCAGGCCACTGGTGGAGTGAAACGCTGTGGCTGTGCAGTGCATGAAAACTCAGTTTCTGACATCATCATCAAATCGGCCTCGTTTCACCACATCCCCCCCATTTCACCGACTTCCTGTCACATTCAGGATTCAGTTTGAAATCCCGTCGTTTCCGTTCAGCTCATAACTCGCCGCATCCGTCTGACCTCCTGACCTCACAACCCGTTCTGACGCTTCCTCCTGTCAGATCCTCCTCCGCTCCACAACGCCGGACCGCTCTCACGGCACGACTCAAAACTCACCTGCTTCTCACTTTGATGCTTCCTGATTGTCTGGTTTTGTGTTTTTACCGTGTCACGTATTTTCACAAAAAAATACGGAAAAATGTAACTCAGCAAAAAATGGTTGGAAAATCTCAATCAGCGGGAATTTATATAAATAAACATTTGAAGAAAGTTTTCCCACCTTTCTTCTTCCTGCCTGCTGGTTTCTTCTTCGCTGCTCTGGCTGAAGGTTTGGAGGTTTTCACCAGCGGCTCGTGATCCGAGTCGTCAGCTGACTTCCTGTCCTCTGACGCCTCAGATTTCGGAGAAGAATCCTTTTTGTCTTTTGCTGCTGGTTTCTTCTTCTCCTGTAGCGACTCGTCGTCCGAGGAATCATCTGAAGCTACGAGAAATGATTTGAAAATAGAAAACTCAGCATTAAACACAAACAGAGAGATCTTAATGTCTTCATTGGAGGAAGGAGAAGCCAGGATTTTAAAGTTTTATGACAAAAACTAAGTACAAAATCAAATTGAAGAAACTTTCAATCTAAACACATTATTAATTGCACTGTTCCTGTGTGGTAAAAGTAAAGATGTAACAGCCTAAAGTCTCTCTAGTCATAAAATGGTTCTGCCATATTCTGGGTGAACAGAGTCGGATTTATAGGAGTTAAATCTGCAGGTTTGTTTCCAGATTGGGTTTTAAAACTGGCCTGGTGTTTTCACTGAGGCAAAATGACAAAGCCTGCAATGTGTGAAATGTTTGCTCTGCTAAATGGAAGATTTTTATTGAGAAATTAATATCTTACATGCATCAAAGGTTCTACATTTATGCAAATACAGTTTGTTCATGAAAGCTGCTGCTTTTAAAATAAACACATGAAATAAAAAAGCAGAATATACTGTTTGAATTGAGTGTGAGAAATTAATAGAACCAAAGGAGATGCATCAATATTTATGAAGGTTAATAAAAAGTAAATAAATTTTTTAAAAAATGAATGTAAAAATAAACTAATAAAAGAGGATTACGCTGCAGGAAAAACATCCCAGACAGCTGCCAACATGGAAGCAGCAGCAGAAGAAGAAGAAGATAGAAAGTCGTCCCACCTTTCTTCTTCCTGCCCGCCGGTTTCTTCTTCCTGCCTGCTGGCTTCTTCTTCGCTGCTCTGGGTGAAGGTTTGGAGGTTTTCACCCGAGGCTCGTAGTCAGAGTCGTCATCTGCGTTTGAATCTGAGGAAACAAAACAAGTAAATATTTGCGGCGCCTCGGGGAGCTGAGCTGCAGGAGCATCAGGATGTGGAGCATCACCAGAGTTTCTGTCCTCGGACTCGTCAGATCTGGGAGGAGAAGGTTCCTTTCTGTCCTTCGCTGCTGGTTTCTTCTTCTTGCTCAGCGGCTCCTCGTCGGAGTCGTCTGACGCTACAAGAAACGATTCAAACAGAACGTAGCTAAAGCACGGTGGTGGAGGAATGATGGCTTGCACAGCAGCTTAAAGTCACAACCCATTATATTTTTACTTGACAGGTAATTTTGATGATTTCCTCCTGTTTTTATGTCTTGAAGTGTTTAATAAAAATGTTTTTCTCCAGAAAGTCGCTCGGCAGTTTGTAGCAGCTGTTTAAGCAAACATGGCGGATTTCCTCTGCTTCTCACACAATCAGTCATAAAATAAACGTTTATTTTCCTGATGTATCCTGGTGAACCATATTTCAAAAGCAACGTCTGATTTGATCAGTTTTCTCACCTTTCTTCTTCCTGCCTGCTGGTTTCTTCTTCGCTGCTCTGGCTGAAGGTTTGGAGCTTTTCACCAGCGGCTCGTCATCCGAGTCGTCAGCTGACTTCCTGTCCTCTGACTTCCTGTCCTCTGACTTCCTGTCCTCTGACGCCTCAGATTTGGGAGAAGAATCCGTTTTGTCTTTTGCTGCTGGTTTCTTCTCCTCTTGTAGCGACTCGTCGTCCGAGGAATCATCTGAAGCTAAAGACAGAAAAATTAGCATTGAAGAACTCATCCATGAAGCACGGTGGTGGAGGAATGATCATGCAGACGTTTTAACTGACAAAATCAGGACAACGATCTGAAATGAAGAAACAACAAAGAGAGTAATCACAGCTTTCTTCTTTTGTTTTCTCCAGAAAACAAAAAGAAGTGAAGAGAAAGAAAGAAAAAAGTAAAACAAAGAAGAAAGTGAAAACAAATTTTACAACAAAGTCAAAAGCAAAGAAGAAACAAGAAAGTGTAGAAGAAGGAAGTAAAGAGGCTGAAGTAGAAGAAGAAATCCCACCTTTCTTCTTCCTGCCTGCTGGTTTCTTCTTCGCTGCTCTGGCTGAAGGTTTGGAGGTTTTCACCAGCGGCTCGTGATCCGAGTCGTCAGCTGACTTCCTGTCCTCTGACTTCCTGTCCTCTGACTTCCTGTCCTCTGACGCCTCAGATTTGGGAGGAGAAGAATCCTTTTTGTCTTTTGCTGCTGGTTTCTTCTTCTCTTGTAGCGACTCGTCATCCGAGGAATCATCTGAAGCTAAAGACAGAAAAATTACTCATCCATGAAGCACGGTGGTGGAGGAATGATAATGTGAACGTAACCCCACCTTTCTTCTTCCTGCCGACTGATTTCTTCTTCGCTGCTCTGGCTGAAGGTTTGGATGTCTTCACCTGAGGCTCGTTATCAGAGTCGTCAGCTGCGTTGGAATCTGAGGAGAAAAAAGTTAAATAAATATCCACACCGGCCGCCGGGAGCTGAGCTGCAGAAACGGGACGTGAGGCGAAGTTACCGGAGTTTCTGTCCTCTGAGGCGTCAGATTTGGCAGAAGTTTCCTTTTTCTCCTTCGCTGCTGGTGTTTTTGACGACTCATCATCTGATGAATTTTCTGAAGCTGGAAAATAATCCAACATTAATCCAAAGTCCGAACTGAAACCTGTTCTCGTTAAAGCAGGGGTGTCCAAACTTTTTATCATAGGGGCCAAAATCAAAAGTATAAATATATATTAAAAAAAATAGACATATGGAAAGATTCTGGATTCTGTAGATTCTAGATTCTGTAAAAGTTGCTGTTCTACTCATTATAAAAATTGTTTCTAAAAAGATAAATACTTTATGTTGTGCTTAAAATTTTCTATTGTGAGAAAATTATGTTGGTAATAATTTTACCCTGATTATAAATAAGCAGTTTGAGTTTGTACCTGACAGACAGAACAAAGATGCATCATACTTTCATTGCATTTGAGGGACCCACAAAATCACTCCGACGGCCACAGACGGCCCCCGGACCGCACTTTGGACACCCCGGCTTTAGATAAAGTGTTTTGTGGGCGTCACCTCCGCTCTTCTTGGAGTTGGCGTTGTCACATGACTTCTTGTCATCGCTGTGCGGCCTCATGAGGAGCTTCGACAGCGGGACGAACTCCTCTTCATCAGAGCTGGAGTTCCCCTTCCCTGATTGGTTAATCAGGAAAATTACTGTTAATTTACATTACAGTCACTGAAATAAAACTGTAGTATTCAAGTGTAAATTGTAGTAGGTAATAGTACCATCAAATTAGTTTGTTTTCAATGGAATGTTTTAAAAGATGCAGAAATAGATGCAATTTGTTGCCAGGCTTGTTGCATTAATCAATAAATCAATTAAATGCCTGACAAATTAAAACGAGCCCAATAATTTCCACTTGCATGATTCATCGTGTTTCTCTTTTCTGTCTCTGTTTTTGTCTCAACCAGCTTTTTTTAGGATAGTTTTGTTTACAAAAACTTTATAAGTCATTTTATTTTTCTGTTTCTGTTCTGGGATATTTAAAATGTCCTCCAGTGTTAAATTTCTTTAAAATGTGTTCTTGCTTTATTACACCATTACCTTTATATTATTGTTCATCGCAATAACTTCTGGGAAAATGTATTGCCTAGAAAAAATGCATGGTGACAAACCTAACTGTTGCAAATTCATAATGAAATTTGCTTGAATAAAGTCCATATTGATCCTAATTAAGTCTGTAATTATAACAAATATTTCTGGGCGATAACTTGTCCCAGAAGTTATTGCAATCAGAGATAATATTGTTGTACCAGATTACCATAATTATTAGTTATAAAAGTTATCAAATGAAGACAGTGGATCTGCTTCAGTCGTTGTATTATTAAACACTGATTATCAGTGTTTAATAATCAGCGATCGGCCTGAAAATGCAATCAGTGCAACCTTATTGAAGAGTTGATTCTATAGTTTGGCAATAATTTACTAATCCATCCCAGTTTCCGGTCCAGTCTGAAAACAAACAGTTTCAGCAGGTCGCCAGTCAGAAATAGAGACTCTACGTCACAACGACCCACAGCATCACTGGGCCGAGTCCTCTGAAAGCCGTTAGAAATCTACATGTGTCTGGGTTTGGACTCGGCAACATTTGCATTGTAAAACAGCCCATCATAATTTCCAAATGCCCGCCTGCAGAGTTTCAGCTTCTGTGATTTGACTGAAGCGGCTCATCCGCTCCTGGGAGGATGAATGGATGAATCCGACAGAAACCAAGGGATTCACTCGACCTGAAAATGATTTCCTGCACATCTGCAGCCGCTTTGTTGGAGAGCAGCTAACGGCTCGCGCTGTGGCAGAGGAAGCGGCTACCTGCGGATCGGTGGGCCACCATGCTGCTAGCCGCGCTGCAGTCCATCCTCACGGCTCTCACTTCATCACCGCGGGTTTCGCTCCGGTACCAAACCCCGCGGCTCCCTGCGGCGCTGCACCCAACTCCACACGGCTACTGGCTCATGGGACCCGGAGGGAACCGTCCAAACCCGCCGCTTCCCGCAGTTTACTCTCGTTTGTCGCCGCTTTGTTTTCTTCCGGTTAGCTCGAGCAGAAAAGGCGGGCGGCGGGTGTTGATGACGCGTCACTCGGAAAATCGGCGTCGCTTAGCAACAACGTCCAAGCTAAAACTGGTCAATTAACTCGGTTCAACAGATTTAATGTTTCAACTCATATGACCAAAAGCTGTTTAGATGCTAAACGCTGCGACTAAAAAGCTTCTCCTGTAGCAGTCAGTTCACCACCACTGCTGAAGCAGCCTCTGACTGGATGACTGTTTCAGTCGAAGACAGGGGAGTCCACATCCAGGCCTCGGTGTCCTGCAACTTTTAGATGTGCCTCTGCTGCACCACCTGAATAGAATAATTAGGTCATTAGCAAGGCTCTGGAGAACTGATCTACACACGGAGGAGGTAATTAAGCCATTTCATTCCTGGGTTTTGTACCTGTGGCACATCAAAAAACTGCAGGACAGCGGCCCTCCAGGACTGGAGTTTGACACCCCTGGTCTAATAACAAGGATCTGGGTTGTTTGTAATATTCAGATCTCAGAACTCAGAGATAATAAAGACGCACATTTAGGCATTTTTATGCCAAAAAATACATATTACAGCATTTAGCTACATTTGAAACATTAGAATGATTAAAATGTTTTAAAAACATATTTGGACTCGATATCAAAATTATGCTTTCAAATTAGCAGCTTCAATAAAATATTCAAAATATATTTTTAGTCACACTAATAGTTTTTCAAGTGAAATAATTTGAGATGTTTCCTTAATCGCCTGATGTTGCTAATGAGCATCATACCTAAACTTACAGTTCCAATGTTCTAATGTGCAATCTTTAATTACTGTCGGATTGATAACAGAACCCAATTTTTTTGTATTGATTAGCTAAGGTTTTAAAATCTCAAGTATGTTTCCATCTCATAATTGAAAGGATGTAAACGGTACAGCAGGAGTGGATCTGATTTTTGTGGCAGTTTGTAGCTCGGTTTATTACACAATCAAGACAAACAGGACATGAAATCACATGAATTCTCGTCAGTCACAGTCAATCGAGACAAAGTGAGGAACTTCTCCAAATCTCAGGAACGTCACTTTTCAGGAAGGATTTCCGTCGTTTTTATTTCCACATATTGAAAACTGGGCGGTGTTTTAAAATCAGCCCTTCCTGATAAGATCCCTGAGAAACAGAACAGTCTGTTGTATTCTGAATGCTGAGGTCCACTCGGTAAGAGACTTACTGTTTTAAATCAAAAGTGCTGCGGAAGAATCACTCTGACTAAATGAACAATTCATCATAAAACATCGACCAGAAAAACTACCGATCATTAATTTCTAAAAGTGGAAAAACTCTGAATAATCTGTTCAGTGATGATGATGACGCCTGAGAGTTCATCCACATTTAAGCATCATGGTTCTGATGGATCTACTCAGAGCTGCAGTTTGCATCAAATGACATGAATAAACAGCATTTCTCTGGTGGAAAGGAGCTGCAGATCCGGACCGGAACCAGCGGCAGAGACGGCTGTCACAGTGAGTTCGAGTTGGTGCTTCAGAGAGCGGCAGGGCGGTCCGGTCACACGGCGGCCATCTTGCTGGCCTCTCTGACACCGCTGAGGTAGGCTCCGGTCACCGTCTGAGGGAAGTGTCGGTTTGTGGCCTGAAGAGAAGAAGAAATGCGGCGAACGGGTCTTAGCTTTTAAAATGTTAAATACCTGCACTTCTGGGATTATAACTAATCTTTAAATGTTCCTTTTCTAGAACAATTTTACAGGTTGTCTTTAGATTGTAGCTTCTTCTGTGACTCTAGTTAAAGGCGCATGTTTGGGCATCATTTTGGTCAAAAATACCTCTTAAATTTAAGCTAAAACTGGGCAAAGGGGCAACCCATGGTGTAACGCTAAACTGGAAGCTGTTGAGCTTGTGCAGCAATGGGATCAAATGTTTTTAGGGTTAAAAAGTTTGTTTCATTCCTTCAGTGCCTGGTGTTGCTAATTAGCAACAGAAGAATTTAGGTTTGATATTCCATTTAAATTTGAGCTTCACAACCTTAATGCATAAAAATGATCAAAATCAATAAAACAAGTATAAATTATAATGGCTAAAGTTCTGCTTACGAGAGTAAAAACAAACATTTTGAGGGACGCAGCGTTACCTCGCCTGCAAAGAAAACCTTTCCCTGCACGTCTTCTGCCAGGATGTCGTACGCCTCACCGCTGCCCCCTGTCTTCACGAAGCTGTATGACATCTGGGACCACACGTCTTTGCTCCAACGCGTCACAAAATAATTCAGAGGATCAGGAACTTCCTGTCAAAACATGGCAACAAGTGACAGGTGCTGTAAAGTCTGTCTGATTTCCATGAAAGAAGCCGTTTCAGTTGCTGCTCTGAAACAAACGTGTGTGTTTAAGAAAACAGCAATGACTTCACAGAAACAGCTGTTTCTGCAACTGATGCAGGTTAAAGGTCATCTCCAAGCCAAAAGAAGTTCATCATTCTCCAGAGAGCTAGATTATTCCCAAGATAAAAACAAATAAAAGAGTAATAAAATAAAATTAAAGACTAAATAAAAATGATTGTTTCCAGAGGAAACAACTTAGCAGGCTACAGGTCAAAGGTCATGGCCTCTTTTCTCTAGAAACAAGATGGCCGTCAAACTGAGCTTAGCAGAGCTGAACCTGGATGAAGGAAAGGAATACTGGGACATCATCCTCTGGACCAGCTGTGAAGCACGGTGGTGGAGAGAAGGTGATCCGGGATTATTCTACGCCTTGCAGCCACTGAGTGGACCTGATCTCCTCTGCAGAACATCTGCCTCGATGCAAACTGGGTCATCACAGGACAACGACCCCAAACAACACTGCTAATCTGCTGTGATGGTCTAGCCAAAGTCCAGCCCTCCTGCTGTACTCGCCGAAGGTCGATACCTGCTCTGGGAAAAGTTCTCGCAGGACCTTCAGGGCCTCGTCGACCACCTGCGAGTCCTCCAGGTCCCCGACGGCAGAAACCGCATCACCAGACATGATGGACATCAGCACAGCCTGTTTGCCCTGGTTGACACCAAAAAACAGAAACAATTTTAACAGATTAAATAACAGATGATCTGTTTTATATTGCAGAGTCTCAGTCTCTCATATTCTCATTGTAGCTCAGGAAATATATATATATGTATTTTATGACTAATTATTCTATAAAATCAGGGATTATTTCTTGATTCTTCTGAAGTTTTTAGCATTAAAAAACTTGTTTCCATAAGTTGATTCAGTTACTTGGTTCAATAAAACCCAGATAATCCCGTAAAGTGAGTGAAGTCCCAACCTGTGGGTCGAGGTCGTAGAAGACGCTGAACATGCCTCTCTTCTCTGGACTCGGCGGGACGTGACCAAAATAATCCGCTCCTTGGATCTTTGAGTCCCAGAACCGGTTCGGAAACTGAAGAGCAATCTGCAGGATAATTTACTGAGATTAGTAACCGTAAAACCTGCCGGATGTTTGGCCTCAAACTGAGTGGGTCGCAAGTAAAATGCTCAACATGAAGACGGACAGTTTAGAGAAATTAAATGTCCTGGTTTCCTACAACTGAATGTCCAGATAAACTTCTAAGAACATTCAGAAAAATGTCAGAAATTTCCCCTTAAACAATGCAATCTGAATAAAAATCAAAAAAAAAAATAAATCTGCTGCTCAGACAGAACTGTGATGACCTTTTCTATGATTCCCGCTCCCAGACTGTGGATCGCCTTCAGCTTCCGTTCAGGAAGTGGCGGGTTGAAGCGGATGGCGTTTTCCTGCAGCAGAGTCAGCGGGACCGTAACGAGGACCTGGAGGACAACAGTCCACATTAAAGCACACCTGACGTGTTGGCATGGAGACGATCCGGGTTCACAGCAGGTGTGCTACCTTCTGGGCCGTCCACTGGGATCCATTAGAGGAGGTCACCTTAACAGCGTCAGCTGAGTAGTCGATGGCCTGAACCTGGAAAAGCAACAAGACTTCAGCATTAAGACGAAGTGGGAAAAACTTGGATGTTTAATCAACGCTAACAGAGCAGCTTGTTACTGTAACTGTGTGTGAATGAAAAATTAGAAATTCAGATCAGACGTTTTAAATTTTTCCATCAGTCACTGGGATTTCAGGATGGATTTTTCAAGATGGCTGCCCCTTTGTCAGCCTTTTCATCCAACCATTAACATAAAATGTTCCCCATTTTCAGGACTTTATGAATTTTATGTCACATCATGTTTTAGACTTTGGTCATTCTATTCATACAACTTAAAATAATAATATGAAGCAAAATCAGAAACTGACGACTTTGTTGTTAGCGAGTGTCACACCAGTCGTCGAGTGGAAGGAGACGAAGTCACGGATAGTTAGCGTTAGCTTCAACTAATTTTTCATTTGCTTAGCATTATTGTCTGCTCATATTTTTATGTGTATATCAAAAGCTTTCACAACTATTTTTATATGTATTTTATATTAGTTTCCATTAGCTATTTTATTTGCTAAGCAGCTTAGCGTTAGCTTCTGCTAATTCCTTTCTATTTGGCTTTAGCTTCTGTCATTTTTAAAGTGTTTGGCAGTTTAGTGTTAGGTTCTACTCATGTCTAGCAGATTAGCTTTGGCTGATTTTCATTTGTTTGTGTTTAGCAGTTTGGAATTAGCTTCAGCTAGCTTTTCATGTGTTTATTAGCTTAGCATTAACATCTGGTAATTTTTTATTAGTGGTTTAGTTTTAACTACTGCTTTTTTTCATCTTTCACAAAGTTTTTAAATTCTTAGCAGTTTCGTGCTAGTTTTTGCTAATTTGTTAACTGGTTAAGCATTTTACCGTTAGTAGAGCTAATATTCTTGCTTAGTGAATTAGTGGCTCGTGCTTCGAGGCGTACCGGACTGTTGGTGCGGATTTCGAGGCCTTCAGCCAGTTTGTGGAGTAAAACTGAGTAGCCCTTCGTTAATAGAGTGTGATCTCCTGAGAACTGGGCAAAAAACTCGTTGTGGTCCCAGAATCGGGCCGATACCTACAAAGAAACAAGAAGAAGACTCTCGAAATGTCCCAAAGTATCGTCTCTTCTGCTTGTTAGGTGGCACAGAAACTCACCTGGTCTAACGTACTTCCACAGGCGAACTCCAGGTTGCTGAGATGAAACTGAAGAACTTTCTCCTCCAAATCACTGAACTGCATCCCAGACTCCTGCAGAAAGTTCTTCTTTATCTCCTGAACCTTTTCTGTGGAGACGATGAAACAATCAGACACACGCCTTCTCCTCTGAACTATGTCCCAGATATTAACAACAAAACCTGCGCCACACAGAGATATCTGGAAAAATAAAGATTCAAAGACAAAACACCTGAAGAAACAGAATTATGATGCAAGTCTCACATAAATGATGTAACAAGACGCAACATGAACGTTCAGACTGCAGATACGATTTGGTTCCAGATATGGAATTGGAAAAAATTTTATATTTTTGGATGAAAAATTACAATTTTTGTCGTTGTGTGGATGTATCCACTAATGAGAAGTGCACAGCACCTCCTAGTGGCGCGTCCTGGCTCTGCGACTTGTCGTTCCTCCAGTCTGAAACCACGTCCAGGATGGCGTTGAAGTGGAAGTCCATGCGCTTGTCGATGGCCGGGTCGGTGGCTCGCCCGCCCTCCTGGAAGAGGTCGCAGCGCTCGCCCAGCTTGTGCATCCTGATGCCCATCTGCAGCAGAGTCATCATCATCATCACCAGCGCCGGCCCCAGGCGGCAGCGCCCCCACCAGGCGGCAGCGCCCCCACCAGGCGGCAGCGGCTACAGCAGCTGAATGTGGCGGCGGTTTGGGCAGAACCTGTTCACACATCAGAGCGATGGGGTTGTTCACGCAGCCGTTGACGATCTGGGCGCCTCGGCCGACGGTGACGCCCAGAGAGCCGTCGTCCCAAACCCGACCGCCGATTCTGTCCCGGGCCTCGAGCAGAACCACCTGGATACCGGAACATTCGGGAAGATATCGATTAATCTGTCGATTCTTTTATACATAACTGATCATTCAGGGCAAAACAATAGGGCTGGATGAAAAACTTATGACAGTATAAACATTTCATATTTGTTGATATCAGTAACTTTTGGGGGATTTTTTTGCTGAATGTATTTGATTTGTTTTAAGTGTAAATCTGATTTAAAACAAGTTGTGACCTTGTGACCTTTCCTGTTTCCAGTCTGCTGATGGTCAGCTGATCTGACTATATTTTTGATGAACTATTTAGTTGTTCTATAGCAAGACAAATAACAGAAAATGAATTTTTTTAGCAGAATTTGAAAGGGATGAAACTACAACTATGCCACCAGAGTTTTGGGTAGTGCTTATTTAGTTTTATAATTAATTTGATGTTAAATATAAAATGAATATACTTTTTGGACAGTTTTGGCTTAATTTCTGCTCTGAATGTGTTTAACTTTCAGCAAAAATACATTTTTCAGTCTATAATCCAGGTGATGACAGTTATTTCAATTAATCACTATTAATCGTTTCAGTCTAGAGCGCAGTGCTGGGATCGGACAGAGAAAGTTCAGAGGTTTCTGGATATCTACCTGTGTCCCAAAATTATGCAGCTGCCGGGCCGCAGCCAGTCCTGCGGCGCCGGCACCGATGACGATCACCTTCTTCTGTGAGGAGAAAACGCATCGTGAGCCCAGATCGGATGATGGATTTAACAACAGGAAGAAGCAGAGATTCTCACTGAGTGGTATCGTTCTGGCAGCAGAGGCTGTTTCACCGCCAGAACGCCGGTGTTGATCAGGCCCTTCCTGGTCATGAAGTGGAGAACCCGGTCCAGCTCCTGAACGCAGCACACGCGCACCAAACCACGAACGATGATGTGCTGAGCACACTTCTCAGCCGTTAGCACTTCCTTCAGAAAACAACAGGGAGAAATACATTTATCATTTCCTGCTTCTAATTCTGATTTTTAATAATAAAGCCTGGAGAGCGACGAAGGTAAACAGAGTTTAGTTCTTCTGGAAGGAGAACATGTGATTATATTGTGAGCTTTCCAGGCACAGAGTGCCATTTTATAACACAATTTAGTATCGATGTTACCTTCTGCTGTCATAAAAATGCTACATATATCAAATATGACTTGAACAAAAATTTAATTAACCCTTAGCAACATCTTTACCAGCGTTGCTCTGAGATTTAGCCCAGCAGTTCCACCAGCTGTTTGCTAATTGGCTAGTCTGAAGGAGCTGAGAAGGGGAGGAGCTGCGCCATGAAGGCGGGGCTAGGTCCACCCAGGCGTTTTGCAGAGCTGAATGGCTGATTTCTCAAACATGCACAAAAGAATCAAAGCAACACTGCAGGAATGCTTTTGATGAGGAAATAACATGAAAATATGATGGACAGATCCAAAAAGTTGATGTTTTGTGATGCTGCCCCTTTCGGCGCACAGCCTCACTGCCGCCTGGTGCTCACCTTGCAGTTCTTGTGCCAGGAGGCCAGGATGAGGTTCCTCAGGGCCAGGTACATGGTGGGATCCCGGGAAAACTCTGGAAACTCATAGAGCTCGTCCAGCTCCATCATGTCGGGCCGCACACACAGAGCCTTTCCGCACTCGTTGGGCTGGTAGAAGGGCTGGAAGTACGGACAGAGGCCTGGAACTGACGGAGAGGAGAGGCATGATGCTTCGCTCCGATCCAGAACGTCGGCCCATCTCCCGAACTTACTCTGCGGCTGCACGGCTCTGCACGGCTCCGCCCGCAGCTCGGCCGCAGAGACGTTGCAGGGAGAGCCGGACGGACTCATCCCCACGCAGTCGGGATAATACGCCGAGAGGAAGGCGCCGGCCGGACTTTCCTTCAGCAGCGGAGGCAGAATCAGCATGGAGTGCCACCAGCTCTCGCTCACCTCTGCAACCCTCTGGAGACAAAAACCAGCTGGAAAAACTCAGAACGGACAAAAAGCCCTGAAATAAACTCATCATAACATCCCAAAAGCAAACTTTACTTCAAATATATTCATATTGTTCACTGGGGCAAAAATACCATCTTCAGGCCATAACTGAAGTGCTCCAGTTTTTTGCACCTGCAACAATTCTTTCTAATTAAAAACTTTTAATTGCTTTAGCTTTTTGTTTTGTAAACAGAGGGCCACCAGAGGGGGTTAAGGAGCCTCAGAAAATTCAAGTTAATAAAAAAAAAAACATATTTTTTTAATCAGACGTTTTTTGCAAATTTGCCCTGATTTTTAATAATTATTATAAAATATGTTAATTTAATGCACTGAAATGTTATGAGGCAGAAGTTATGCTAAACAAATAAAATAATTATTAGATACTAAATAACAGTGAGAAAAAAAAACTTCTCAAAGTTTATGTTTCTTTACATATTAACAGAAACTTATTTGACTGGAAAAAGTTCAATCTCAGCTATTTATTTATATTTTAACAATTTGTGGGTTTTATCAGTAGATTGTGGAACAACCGGCCCTTTAAGAAGAAGTTAGGGTTAGGGTTAGGTTTTGGCTCCGCCCATTTTGGTGACATTTTTCTACATTTGGAGCGGTGCTTTGTTAGCTCCACATTAACAGTTTTAGTTTGATTTGAAAACATTTCTGCATCTCACCAAGTCCTCTGGTTGGGAACACTGGTCAGGTCCTTCAATCTGCAAGCAGAAACAATGTTTCCATGATGACCAAACCGAGAAAGCTGGCGTGGACTCTGATTTTTGCGGCTCCTCTTTACCTTGACGTTGTTGACCTTCATGCCGCAGCGGTATGCTGCTGCCAGGGAGGAGGTTAGCTGGATCTCCTTGGTCAGCTGGCGCCACTTCCTGCAGTCCGGTTTGGTGCACTGAACCTGAAGGGAACGCATCAACGTTACTGATGAAAAGAGAAAAACTCCGTTGTGAGGGAGGAAACGTTCGGCTGCTCACCCAGAACGGCAGCTGCTGGTCGGCCATGAAGGCCTTAAGGCTTGGCTCGCTTTTCCCGTTACTAGTCCACACCTTCCTCCAGGAAGCAAACGTCTCGTAGCCGTCCTTGTGACTGCACACACAGACTTATGCCAGGGCTGTCCAGACTGTGGCTCGGGGGCCATTTGTGGCCCTTGAAATGATTTTGTTTGGCCCTCCACCAGAAGTCAATGACGGTGAAATGTTGTTGGCCAACAATTTTTGTCCAAATTTAAATTCCAAAACAAATTTTTTTATTTTTTCAATGTTTTGTATGTTTAGTGACACATTTCAAAAACAGAAAATTTCACTACTGTTTATAGTTTTTAGTGAAAACAACTAGTACACTTGCAGTAAGTCTACTACAAGACCATTAAAATGACTGACTTAACACAAGTTCCCATATTTTGCTGAATTTGTTTTGTCTTACTTCAACTGGACCAAGATATCTGAACTAGATATGTCTCTAGAAACTACAAAAATACTAGATAAGATTTAGAGTTTTTGCAGTGTGTGCAGATTTTATAAAAACAGAATAATGTAAAATATAAAACATTTGTGCAGGTAAAACTAAAAAAATATTGCAATAAATAAATAAATAAATAAAATAAAATTTTGCATTTGTAATGTTATGACCTTGCAGCCCACCAGTAATTTAAATGTACCAGTTTTGGCTCCCAGAAGCCTGAAAACCCCTGATTTATCCAGAATTTGCTGCATCACAATATCCTCCCAGTGAGACCTGCAGGTAGTTTTACCTTCTATAGTAGTGATCAAAACACTCGTTGCAAAAATGTTCACCACATGACAGGTGGTACCAGCGAGAAGTGTATCCATTTTTTGCACACCTAAAAAGAGAGAAAAGCCTCTGTTAGAGACAAGCCGAGTGATTGACCTTTAACCTTATTTCAGCTCCACTACCTGTCTGATGCGCTCGCAAAACAAACTGGGTAGATGGCCGAGCATCCCGCCTTCTCACATTTCCTGTACTTCTTCTCAGCCTGCTCATCTTCCTCCTCTGTTTCTGTGGCTTTCCTTTTGCTCTGGCATCCAGAGGAGACAAGAAATGGCTTTTAAAGCTGCATGATGTCATCTTTACAAACGTATAGATCTTTTGTTAAGCCTGTCACCATGGTGTGACAGTGTAATATCAAATCAAATCAAATTTTATTTGTATAGCACATTTCAGCAGCAATGCATTTCAAAGTGCTTTACATCATAAACACAAAAACACAAAGTCATGCATCATGGAATCAACAATACATTGTTACATATTACATTTCAAATAAAACTCTAATCAGGTGTGTTTTTAGTTGAGATTTAAAGGAATTTTTGGTGCATAGATGCTGAAAGCTGCTTCTCCTCTCTAGGTTCTGGTTTATGGGGATGCAAAGCAGACCAGAACCAGAACCTGAGAGTCTGGAAGGTTGATACAACAACAGCAGATCTTTGATGTATTGTGGTGCTAAACCGTTCAGTGATTTGTAAACTAACAACAGTATTTTAAAATCTATTCTTTGAGCTACAGGGAGCCAGTGGAGGGACTTTAAAACTGCTGTTATGTCTCTATCTTCCTGGTTCTAGTGAGAACAGGAGCAGCAGCTTCTGGATCAGCAGCTTCTGGATCAGCAGCTTCTGGATCAGCTGCAGCTGGAGGATTGATTTGTTGGACAGGCCTGTGAAGACGCTGTTACAATAATCAATGTGACTAAAGATAAACGCATGGATGAGTTTCTCTAGATCTGGCTGAGACATTAGTCCTCTAATCCTGGAGATGTTCTTCAGGTGATAGAAGGCCGACTTTGTAATCGTCTTTATGTGGCTTGCAAGGTTCAGGTCAGAGGTCATCACTACTCCTAGGTTTCGGGCAGATTGCTAGTTTTTAGGTGTAATAACTGAAGCTGTGCATTGACTCCTCTCCTCCACCTCCTGCCTGAGCTGCTCTTGTCATTTGAAGAAATACACAGAGCCAAGAGGAGGGTCTCAGTGCTGTCAATAAACCTCGTGAACGATATGCTAAACATTCTAATAGTAGAAACAACTTATTATTACAGAAAAGAACAGTTCATCGGTAGAAATGCTAACGAGCTTTAGCATTCACCACCAGCTTTGTTGAGGAGAAGCTGCATCATGGCAGAGGCTTGAACGGATCCATGGACTACTTTTGTTTCATTTTGTTTTTCTTTTTAATAAATGGGCCTAACTAATTTTGAAAAATATGAAAGAACGTTTAACATATATGTGATTGTTCTTTCAATAAGGATAAACATGCAGTGTTTGATATGACGCAGACATGTTTGCGGGATGACCACCGCCCTCCCGGCAGCTCACCTGTCCAGGTGGAGGGTTGTTGCTGCGCTTCACCCGGGTGGTGCTCTGCCTCCCGGAGGAGCGCAGGGTCTGTCCGTCCCCCGGGGACTCACCGGAGCTCCGTTTCCTGGCTCTGCGAGCACCGGAGCCGTTCCCGGAGTAATCTGCAGACAACAACATCAAAATGTGTTGGAGGAACAATGGAGCAGAGCAGGAACAGGCCTTCACTGCCGCCGATGAGCGTGTTTTAATCACAGATGCGGTTATAAACAGTTTAAAAGTTGATTGGGGTCATTAACAGCGAGCAGGCGCTGAGTTTGGGACATTTTAAGCTCTTTAAATGAACAGAACAGCAGCTATTCACTTTAGCATGTTAGCAGTTAGCAGCTGTTACACCAACCTGCGTCCGACAACATGGCGTCCCGCTGAACTCCTGTTAAATCGCGGCTCAACCTGCCAGTTTGTTTCAGAAAAGCCTCAATAAATAAGTTAAATAATCTATTGTTGTTGTGAAGAAAGAAAAGCGCATCTGACGTCAGAAAAGTGCTTCCTGTTTAGCCCAGGAAATGGGCGGTTTGGTTCGGCTAGGTTTGGTGCTACGTTTAAAGTACCTCGGAAATTACATTATCAATTTGAAAACAACGAAAAGCCAAACCGATGACCTGCAGTGTGACAATCCATTCACTGTTTAAATCTAGAACATTTTCATTAATTCTAATATTCAAGATATTTGTATTTAAGAGATTATGATCTGTAGGCCTATGTAAAATTTAATTAATGCGATATAAAACTTTAAGTGAGCAAATAATGACTTATTAGTACAATTTCTTAGATTCCGAATCTTTACAGAATACCAATATCCAGACAGTGGATGAAATTCTGCCTTCCCAGTTTTAATTTCATCTTTATTGTGTTTTATTATGATTTGCCAGAGTTTAAATTAAGAATTTCCACCTTTCAAGCTAAACTGAACGCACCATCACTTATGCAGCTTTTTGTCGCTTTTTAACAAAGTACCCATAGCAACCAATACAGTCCATTGCCAACTTCGTGGCCCATGATTATAACCGAAATGTTTTTTACTATTTTTACCGGATATTTGCTGCCAGAAACAACTAAATGTAACGCTGCGGTTTTGTTTCAATTAGAGAATATTTTCCTCGCCGCCATCAGGGCGTTTTAACGGCGAACGGAGAGAGTTTTCCTGCTTCCGGGATGGATGTGGGACAAAGTGCGAGCCGGGAGATTTCCGGCGTCAGCCAGAGCGCGTCGTCCTGGACTGCAAGCGTCCAGGAGGTGAAGGCTCCTCGCTGTGTCTCCTCACAGGGAAGAGAAGACTCGTATCAGGGTTTTCATAATAATAATAATAATATCTAAAACCCTAAAGAAATTATTCACAAAATAATCAACTATAAGGACCACAATTAGCAGTAATTGTTGTGTTTGAGAACAGATTTATAAAATATAAAATATGAAAGTTTTCCAATTGTTTTAATATGAAATCAATTAGTATTTTGATGATGACGTCTATTATTTAACAAGAAAATTAAGCTTTCCCTCTTAAAATGTTTATTCTTATTATTTAGTATTTTTTTGAATCAACCACATAATTCCTATTAGTCAACACTTTGCTAGTTTTAAACCAGTGGGATGCTGGTTTTTCTGCAGTCCATTCCCAGAAGTCTGGACCTGATGAAGATTCTTTATCTTCTTCGGGATCCTCTGACGGTCAGTGAAGTGCCATTTTTCCTTCAGTGAAGTTGCGTTTCTGGATCTAATCGCCTGTTTTGTCCTGCAGACGAACCTGACAGGGAGGCACTTGTTTGTCCTGAGGAAGCTGCTGAAGAGGAACAAGTCTGGCTTTGTATCCTCCTTCCTGGATTATCATGTTTTCCTCTTGTCTTGATGGAAAGTTATCATTTTATTTTTCTTTCCTGCACGTTAAATCTTCTTAAAGTATGTTCAGCTTTTAAGGGAACTTGCAGATATAGCCAAGATAATTGACATCTGTGCTGTGAAAGTGATCGAGGAACCTAAATATGCACCGTTTCTGTGTGAAGCTCTTCTAATCAGCAGGTGGGAAACTCAGAAATGTGACTTATTATCAGTTTCTGCATCAGCAGCGTCTCTGTTTTCTGCTCAGGATTCCCTTCCTGAAGGAGAAAGCGTCCGATGACCTGATCTACCCTCAGGACGCCATAAACTTCCTCTCCTGCCTGGGTATGTAGGCCACTGTTTCAACAGATTTACACGTTTATCTGGTTTTTAACTCATTTCCTAGTTATGTGAGAGATGAACCGGCCACTTCTCCACATTTAAAATAAATGAAAAGAGCTGTAGCTGTAGATCCACATCACGACGCATTACAGGGATAAATTATATTGTTTTAGTTTTACTAACTCAAATGTTAAAGTTGTGGCCTGAGTTCTGACTCTGAATCTCTGCAGGGAGCTAAAGATTAGGGTGATGGTGAGGAGGCTCTCCTCCTCACCATCACTGAAAATTACTGAAAATGACTGAAAATTTAATTTAAATAAATAAAAATGTATTGAAATATAAATTATTTACTAATAAACACAAAAGTAGTTTGTTTATAAATAAATAAATGTATTAATTAAAGCAATCAGAAAGTAAAATAAATGGAATAGGAACACATAAATGGAACACAAAGTATTATCAAGTATTGTTGGTGTCGTAGTGCAAATACTTTAGTATTCTTAAAATATGACAAAACTAACATAAAGCAGTATATGTGGGCATATTTTAAGTAAATAACTCTTATAAAAACATAACTTCCAGTTCTATTGGCAGATTATTAAACTGAAGATATTTTTCTCATTTTCAATTCACTGTTTATTTTACGTTTTTGTTATAAGTAAAATAATCTAATCTGAATCAGAACTTTTTCACCAATATTAAGAGATTGACTAAAATAAGCTCATGTGTTGCTATAAAGGTACGTATAAGTTAGTTTTGTCTTATTTTGAGTGTAATCAGAGATTTGCTCTCAAATTGGACTGAAACACTCGATCAGCTGTTGAGTTGCTGCAGCGTCTCTCAGTCGCCGCCATGATGATGAGGAGCAGCAGCGTCTCCTGCGTCTGTCTGCAGGTCGTCTGTTGAAGATCCCAAATCCTGAGATCCAGGAACACGTCGTGGAAACAGTCCAGTCGTTTTTCAGCTCCGAGGCGTCCAAGGATCTGCCTGGAGGTAAATCTTGAAGGAGCTTCACGCCCCAAATTAACCTGAAGGCTCTGATAGTTTAATCTGAAGTGAACAGAGTCATTTTGACCTTGCATTTTATTCCAAACAACAATCATTTCAATAACCGATTCATCCTGATTGTTTTGATTAATTGTCTCAGTCTACTGTTTCTCATTTCCTCTGCGTTGTCCTGTTGTTCTGCTCAGGCGGCTGCACCATCTCTCCGCTCTACCGGCTGCAGCTGGTGGAGCGCAGCGACCTTCCCAAGTTGCTGGTTGAGTCTCTTGCCGCGCTGCAGAACCAGCCGTTCTTCAAGCTGCAGCTGCTGGAAACCCTGCAGCTCCTCTGCAGCTTCTCTGGTGACGAACACTGCGCTCTGCATGCAAGGAGGAAGAAACAGACGCAAATCTCTCCGTGTCTAATCCGCCCAGAACAAGTTTAAAAACCGAGGTTTCATTCAGCGGTTTAGAGATTCAGCCTGTCACCATGATGAAATCTTCTGGATGATAAATTGTCCCAGAAGTTATTGCGATAAACGATGACGTTGTTTGAAGACCAGTTTAGAGTGGTATGATGATAATGTCATCATAATGCAAGAACTTATTCTCAAAGATCAATAAACGTTAAATTCTAATGAACATTTAACCCTGAAACTGGAAGACATTTAAACGTGTCTCTGGAAACAAAATGTCCTTCAAAATAGTTGAGACCAAAACGCCACACTCGAGACTTTATGCAAATCATTGAGCTTGTTTTACATTATCATGCAATTAATTGATATATTGATTATTGCAATAGATCAATATTCTGCTGCCACGAGAAAAAGAGTGTAAACAATATATTTAAACTGTTCTATAGGTTCAGTAATGTCTTCAGTTTATATTTAAACAAAAATACGTTTGTGCATAAAATTCTGTCATTTAAATAAACTTTATTAGCTTGGATTTTTGTTAAATATAGAAATATATCAAACATTTATTCAAAATATATTAGAAACAAATCAAGCTGACTAAATTAGTTTTGTGATCATTTTGAATCGATTCAGGACATAAACTGTGATTCTCAATGGGAGACATTCCCGACTCTTCATCAGTTCTTCTGACCGTTTTGCAGACCTGAACTGCAGGTCGATGGTGGACGCCGGAGCAGCGGCGACCGTGTGTCTGCACATGAACGGGCCCGGCCCGCCGGCCCGGGTCCTGGCCTGCTCCACCGAGATCCTCTGGATGCTGCTGGAGAGCAGCGGCCGGGACGACGCCGTGGCTCAGCTCTGCAGCCTGGACTGCGTGGTGTAGGCGTCTCTACGGCAGGCCACTTTAGCATCAAATCACACTTCAGAGCACTGACATGAAGCCGTCTCATATTTGGTCAAAATCTACTAGTCAGAACATAAAAGCAGATATCTTGAATTACCGTTGCAGATGAACTGATTTTATGTTAAAACGGCCTGCCGTTCCAGGTCTCTGAAGGAAGCGTTTTCATCCGTCCTGGCGCTCACATCCCAGGGCTTTGACCTCCAGCTCAGGAACTGCCTGCTGGTGTTCACGACTCTCATCGCAGAAAATCCAAACTGTCCGCTCATCGTGAGTACGACCGGTTGAAATAAATCACTTCTGCAGACCTGCGTCCTGCTGTTAACCTCTTTCTGATCTGCAGGAGAGCTTGTTTGCCAAACAGCTGCTGGGATACATCACACTTCCAGAAGGTGAGACACTTTTCTCCTCAGCTAGTTTTGTCTTACAAAGTCAGTAAATGTGCTTTTTGAGAAGAATAAAATGTGTTGTTGTTTCAAGTGGAGGTCTCTTCAACGCAGAAACTCACCCACAGCAAAGAAGACCTGAAGATGAAGAAGCTGCTGCTGAATCTGCTGATTTTGTTGTCCAGACACGTTGCTGCTACGCAGGTCGGTCACTCTATGGCAGGCTGTTTTAGCATAAAATCAGCTTCACCGCATTCAGGGTAGTCAGAATATAGATGTGTGAAGACAGAACTAATATTTAGATATCTGTAATGTCTCTATAGGTGATGATAGAAAATAGATTTTATGTTAAAATGGCTTGCCATACATCCTTGAACATGTTGATTCTTGGACATTGAATCAGAATTTTCTTTTTTCCGTCAGCTTTTCAGAGAGGAGCTGGTCATGGTGAGCCTGCTGCGGTTCGTGGATCCACCTCAGAAGGAGCCGGTTTTGCCTCAGAGCGCCATCCTCAGCGAGCAGGAGGAACTGCAGCTGCAGGCGCTGGAGACGCTGGCCAGCATTGCGCCGGTCATGCTGCAAGACTACATGGACTGCCAGGGGAACACGCACCTGCTGCTGCTGCTCGACTGGTGCTGCGGTACGCAGCGCGTTCCTGCCGGAGCCCAGGGCCACGATTTTTATCAAAACTCTCCTGCCTGGAAATTCTGATGTTTTCGTGTCTGTTGTTTGGAAACATAGAGCAAAAGGGACACGTGAAACTTTCCATCATCAGTTTACACCCAGTTCTGTTTAGGACGACTATTAACACAGCAGAAACACAGAATGTTATCAATCAACAGAATATTATCAAAGATCTTAGTGGCCTTGAAATGAAACAAAACTAACTTACAAATGACCTTTCAGCAAAAAAATATTAGATTTTTTTAAGTCAATAATTATTAATGATGAAAAAGTATTTGGTCCATTGATAGTGTTAAATTTCATTTGATTAATTTTAAAGAATTGTTTATTGAAAATAAGCTCCACATTTTGCTGAAAAGCTGCTTTTCAGTTATTTTTGTCTTGTTTCCAATGTGCTCAGGTGTTTGCACTACAAACTAAACAAAACACTTGGTAGCATTTTGTATTTTTGCTTTAGCAGAATATTTTTTCCGTCGTGGATTGGGCACTAAAACTGTTCCTTATAACTCTGGAAATGGAAGCAGATCTTTTTTCCGCCAGACTGAGTGTTTTTTGTTTTGCTCTTGGCTTCAGATGACAGAAACAGGCGGAAGCTGCAGATGCAGCGCTGCATCAGAGTCCTGCGCGCCGTCACGTCTCTGGGGGAAAAGTCCGTCAACCAGGACCTCAGCGACCAGGGAGCCATCCACCAGCTTCTGGGTAACGCCCGCCGAAACCAGCAAAATGGCCGCCGTGAACGCCGAGAGCAGTGAGACGTGTCTCCCTCCCAGGGATTATAGTCCAGCTGGAAGCCGTTTGTGATGAGGGCGATGTGGTGACCATAGAGATGATGTCCAACATCCAGCTGATCCTGTCAGTGCTGTGTGAGACCGACCTGCACAGAAAGGCAAAACATCGCACAACACAAACACAAACACAGCATGGAGAAAAGATCATGCTAAACACAAGTCGGAAAGAAAAGGAGCAGAAAACTAGAGATGGGAAGTTAATCTAAAAGAACCAGATGCTATTTAATTTACCAGGTTTTAAAGTGAAGTTAAAACCCTGAACTTTGGCGCCTTCGTTTACCTTTTTAAAATGTTTTACTTCAGTTTTTTATCTCTTTGTCCAGCACTTTGCTTAAAAGAGCTTCATAAGTAAAGTTATTGGTGTGGCATAAACCTGTAGAAATTAAAACCAGTAAATTACGTTTATTTAAAATAAACTTAAAATTGACATACATAAAAATAAGCAGTAGAATTATATGTATAAATATAATACGGTAAATAGTGTAAAGTCAAATTTTGTGAACTATGCAGATCTAATTTTAGGAGGAAATATTCCCTTTGAACAACTAAACAAACAAAAACAAGGAAAAGAAATGAAAGGTAAAATCTGTTGTAAAAATAAAATGAGAAAAAATAAAATCTGAAAAAATAGCAAACGCCATAAATTACACATTGTAATTTACTGTGAAAACGAGCAGCTGCAGTCGTTTGTCCCTGATGATTTTATCTCGTATCGTAGAGAGTTTCATATGTGTGACGGTGGTCGGATGTTTTGTTGTCTTGCAGGAGCTGTTTGGGGCAGAGGGAGTGGAAATGGTCGTACATTTCCTGAAGAAAGGTTCGGAGAACTTCTACAGCGGTTTGGGACACAACAAGCTGCTGATCTGCACCATCGACTGCGTGTGGTCAGTCCAACCAAACCGGGTCGATTCAGGACACAGTTACAGTTCTGGAGGTTTTCAGCCACCCACACTGGGCAGGAAGGGGTTAACTCAGCTCATCTTCCCAAGAACAAAAAAGGCATTTTAAATTAAAAACAAGGAAATTCTTCTGTTTATTTATAAAATATATAAACATTCAGCCTGAAAACTCAGCTGCAGAGATTATTGTAGTTTTGGAGGATGTTCTCCAAGTAATATGAGAAAAATGTTTTATTATGAGTGAAATAATCTGCAAGTGGAACCAGAGGAACTAGAACTTCATCAATAAAAAGTTCTGAACTTTTTTGTCAATATTCAGGAACTGTTTATTAGAACAATTTCTTACATTACGTTAGTTTTGTCTTATTTCAACTATACTAAGATATTTGCAATAGAATCTGGACCCGAAATACTTGGTGAGATTTTGCAGTGTGTCACTCCCACAGCATGACACTGCCACCACCAGATTGATTAAATTCGACATTCTTGTTCTGAAAACCAGCTGAATGTGTTTGGATGCACTGCTGCCTGTGATCAGCTCATTCTGGACCCTGTTGCTAGAAAAGCTGAGTCGGGTGACTGAAGGCGGACTTTCCGTCCATCCCTCCAGGTCGTGCATCGTCGGCTGCTCCTTCACAGAAGACCAGTTTCTGCAGAAGAACGGCGCCGGCCTGCTGCTGGACTTGCTCCGCTCCAGCCCCAAGTGTGTTCACGGCATCATCCTCTCCATCCTGCTGGACCTGTGCAACAACCCCAACACCCGGCCGCAGGTCCTGGCCTGGAGGGACGCCGAGGGCCAGACGGCCCCCGGAGTCCTGCTGCAGCTCTGGAGGGAGGAGGAGGAGGAGCTGGGCGTTCTGCGGGACAAAAACGGAGGAATTGCAGGTCAGACTGAAACTGATCCACCTGGGAGAACCGGATTCATCTCAGAGATTATCTGTCAGGTTGTTTGTTTTTGCCCTAAAGATCCGGAGAAGCCGCTTCTGACCCGTTTCCAGAACGAGAGCAGCACCCTGTCGTTTCCAGCCGACATGCCGTCCGCCGCCGTGCTGGAGACAATGGAGAACCTGCGAGGGAAGATTTACCTCCTGATGTCCAGCCTGGGTGAGAGAAACAGGAGCGAAACAGAAAAATGAAGGGGAGGACATCAAGCTGACATGTTATTAACATAAAGGAGTTTTTATAAATGTTTCTTGTTGACATGAAGTGACATTCAGTAAATAACGACTCTTAAAGAAAAATTCCACTAAAATTAAAACTTTTAGTTGAATTAAAAGTTTCATTATTCACCAATTCATGATGAACATAAAGACTGATTTATGTTTATGACAGAGTGATGTCAGCCTTATGCAAACTGTTACCAAACTGAATTCTGGGAGAAAAATTCAACTTGGTATTTGGTAAAAATTTATCCCTCTGTCCAGAAAAAACATCTGTCTATAGCAACAAACACATCAAGAAGCAGCGAGTTTCTTCCTTTTCCCACAGGATCTACTGAAAAAACTACTAAGAAGCAGATGTTTCATTTTTGTTTTTAGTTTTTGAAATGCAGAACAATTTGATTTTCTTCTTTTTGTTCCTACTTTTAGTTGATCTGTGTATTTGGGCTCCATGTTTGGGTTTCAGGTTTCCAGGATCTTCCTGGCCTGTCGGTGGGAGATCATGTGACTCTGGGCATCGTCACCAGATACCTGGACTTCAAGGTGACAACCGTTTTCAAATTAAAGGGTTTCACACTGCAAAAACGCACAATTTTACCAAGTATGGACCTTCTTCTTTCTACTGCTCATATCTGACATGTCCTAGACTCACATATGGATGAATTTACAGAAAATGTTAAATATTTTTTTTCCTGCTTAAAGACAGGAATTATGAAACTGTTTCTGTGAAACCCGAAATCAGAAAAATGCTCAAAGCGTCTCCAGTTGCACCGTTTCCTCGGTGAGAAAGTTGTGAGTTTCTCTGCAGGTCTGCGAGGTTTGGAACGAGATCAGGGGCGAACTGAGTCTGGACGGCGTGAAGCCGGTCACCTCTGACCAAAAAGCGCTGCAGTCCATCTCTAAGTCGTCGACGGCAGCGGCGCAGAGCATCATGGAGGAGCAGAGCCGCATCGTGGAGGAGCAGCGGCAGAAGGAGATCCAGGAGGAAATCCGCATCTACGCAAAGGTGCTGCAGAGTTCATGTCAGACGCCTGGAAACGGCCTTCACCACGTTTCCTCTTCTGCATTTACACTTTGTTTTATTTTCAGACATTTTCACCGTTCCACACTCAAGTCAGAAAAGAAAAATCATAAGACAAAACAATGCAGAAATTGATCAACAATATTTAAATTCCTGTCAAAGCATCGACTGAAGAAAGTTCAGTTTGTTATAAAGCAGCTGAAAGTTTCCACGTTTTTCAGGGATTTCAGCCGAAGCTGAAGACAAAACTCATAAAAATGTTTGTATTTAGCAAAAGATTTCTCTAATTGGTTTTTTATTAGAGTTACAAACTATTTTGACTTTTCACAACAATTATTCCACTCCTGAATCCTTCCGACTGAGGTTCATTTGTTTTAACATCATTTTGTTTTTGAAATAAGTCTGTCATAGTTTGTTTAACTAAACCTGTAAAAGAGTTTATTATTGGTTTCCTGCAGGGCCGGTGCTGTTCTGGACTCCATTAAGTCATAAAAGTTTAACGTGAGCAAAGTGAGAAATATTGAAAATAATCCGTTATAATCTGGAAAGCTTCTTGTGGAGCGTGTAGAGAGGTTCATGGGAATATTAATATTCTGTCTTTATTTTCATGAACTCAGGTGAGTTGTTGTTTCTTTTCAGATGAAAACCCACCGGACACAGGATGTACTCGCTGCCAAATACTGGAAGAACTACGTCGCCAGAACTTCAAATTACGACATCCTGAAGGTTTTTTTCCAATTAACAGCTGAAATTATTGTCAGGCTCAACGATGGTTAACCGTTTCCTTCGTCTCCTGGTTTAACTGCAGGAGGAAAAAGCTCAGAGGGAAAAACACCTGAAATCCAAAGCGAAGCCTAAAGTCACTACCGCTGAACGACCTCCGAAGGTCTGACACCAACACTCTGTTTTCCTCTGGTTTCTGTCAAACTAAACAACACAAACATAAAAAGCTGCTTTTCTGGAACCTTCTGGCTGTTTTCTAGAAAAGTTCTGGTTCAGTTCCAGGAAATTAAGTTTTTCAGCCTGGAGATGTTCATGGTCAGTTTCAGGAAAACAGACAGATTCCCCAAAACTCCCCAATATTACAAATGACTCATCTGCAGTAAGAACCACAAAGTTTTACAAAAGTTCTTGGGATTTTCACTGGAAAGTATCGGAGTATTGATGGAAAGTTACCTCTTCGTCTGACTTTATCTGTGGAGCCGTGTTAATTTGGGATCTCCTATGAGGATCTGCATGTTAACTGATGAACATTTCATCGTGTTTCAAAACTTCACGGTTTTGAAACACGATGTCTGTCGGATCAAACGGACGTTTCTGCACAATCTTTTACACGTGGATCTGTGTGTTTTACTCTGATTTCTTATCAGCTGTGATGCTGCTTGTGTTTCAGCAATTCATCACCCACATCCTGGCAGTGAAGACCAGCGATGAGCCGGGTCCTGCAGGGGTCGACGTGTCGCTCGCCAGAACTGTAATCTGAGCCGAACGGACTGAAAAAGAGCCCAGAACCGACGGTACCAAACCTCCTGGTTCGACGTCAGGCTTTTACTCCTGCAGGTCTAAATGCTCCTGCAGTTTTCTGAGCATCGAAACCAAGAGAATAACATTTTCTGCAATAAACAGCTTGCATTTTCTGCGTGGCTGCTTCTGTAAGACAATGAGCAGAAAGTGCAGACGTGACATCACTCAGTCTGCACAGCCTCTTCCTTACAGTCTGGTCGAACACACGGAGGCTTCACCAACAGACTCCTGTCATAAACACGAGTTTTCAGGGCTAATTCATGTTAGCGAAGTTGAAGCAATCTTTTCTGTCTGTGATGTCTGGAAGTTTGCAAAAATCATTTACAATCAAATCAGGATGAAGTGCATGAAAATTCATCTGAGTTACATTTTTACAGTCAATTAAATCAATTCATGAAGAATTTGAACGTCCATTTAAAAATGATTTAAAACCCTTTTTCTGAACATTATTTAACTCTGAGATTGTTGATCTGGTTGGGAACTGAAGCTCTTTTTGGGATTGTTTGTTTTTCTGGTGCTTTTATATTTGCATGTATTGAATGTTTTCTGCTCAGTGAATTTAGTCCCAGAGTTTCTGTTGTTGAGGATATTATGTCCAACTCTAACCATCTTATTATTGGTCAGCTCTGCACAACAGCTTATTCTGAAATGTATTTAATCCTTTATAATAATGTGTTTTACATTATTGTCTTTAGGTCTGTTGACAACAATAACCTACAGTAAGAACCGTGTTATGAATTTTTAACATCTTTATGTAATGAAAGCAGAGGCTTTACGAAAACCCAGAATAACTCAAAAATAAAATGTGAACTTTTCCAGCAGCAGCTTCTCATTAAAGTGAAGCTTAAAGGAGTTTTAGCCCTAAATTGGGAAACTTTTCCAGTGTTTTATGCTCAGTGTTTTCAGGTTACATAAGTCACTGCAGTGCATTAACACAAATGTTCCTTCAAGCGTGCAGCATGCTGCACAGAGCCACTTTTCTCTCGCTGCTCCCATCATTACTGTCTGGACGGCCGAATCATCCGTGACGAACGGAGCGTTTCACGAAGCTTCAGACAAAAGATCCTGGACATGCAGGAGCCTGGTCGGCTCAGCCGGCCGTGAAGCGGATCGCTGCAGCTGCTGGACCTCCAGAGGAACAACTTACTGCTGAAAACTGTGAGAAACATTTTGTTTTACCTAAAGAAGGATGGACTGCTGAGACTGGAGCTAACTGGGACAAACAGCAACTAAACATATTTTAGAGACTTGAGATGTTGTGATTTGGCCTGTTAACTGGAAGTTACATTATCCCACAAGTTACTGTGATAAATGATTATATTGTTGTTTCGATTCCATTTTTCAGTAATGTAATGACTTTATGATGCAAGAACACATTCTCAAAGTTCAACAAACTTTAGGTTGTAATGAACATTTAATACTGAAACTGGAAAACATTTTAAATAAATAAACAACGGCAATAACAAATAAAATGAGTTATGAAGTTTCTGTAAACAAAACTGTCCTTAAAAAGGTTCAGTTGAGATTAAAACACCAGGCAGAAGAATCATCACCATTATTGGTAGGGAAAAAAATACATTTTTGTTCTTGTTTTAATTCATCATTGATTTATTGCAACAGGCCTATTTATTATGCTGATTATTAATGATAATGATAATAAATGTTTCCTTTCTCCCAGAATGGGATTGTCCATGTGGTTTGGTTTATTCTAATATTTATTAAACTGTTAATGTAATGTTTGTTTTGTCCACTAAATATAAAAGGATTGAAGCAAAATCACCAGAATCAATTCAATAATGTTTGTTTTCCTGGTTTTAAAGTACAGAGTAATATTAGAAATCATCTAAAACCAAAATCTGGTGCTGAGTTGTTGTGAATTGATTCATTCAAAGCTCCTTAAAAAGCAAAGTTTCCTGATCTTCCCTGTCGGAGACCTTCAGGTCGCTTCAGACTGATTGACGCTCAGCTCTGGGTTTTAATCTCTTCAGCGTCTCCAGCAGCAGCAGTGATGTTCAGGTTGGGAAGGCTGACTCCAGGATACTACCGACTCCTCCAGGTGAGAGTTCAGTAGAGACCAGGCGATTTTATGTCACTGTTTCTTTAAATAGCTTCTGAGAAGGTGCACATTGTCTAAAGACTTTAATTCACTCAGACAAAAACTCAAGAAACCAACTGAAAAACAAACCTTCCAGCCATCTGACTAGCAAACTAAATTGATCAAACTACTGACCAAAACCCTGACGACTCATCAACCCTCTGGCCAACAAGCAACATGGAAACACACTGGGTGTTCTGGACATGCTGGGTGTTGTGGACATGCTGGGTGTTGTGGACATATCCAACACACTGGGTGTTCTGGATATGTCCAGAACACACTGGGTGTTCTGGACATATCCAAAACACACTGGGTGTTCTGGACATGCTGGGTGTTCTGGATATGTCCAGAACACACTGGGTGTTCTGGACATGCTGGGTGTTGTGGACATGCTGGGTGTTCTGGACATGCTGGGTGTGTGACATGCTGGGTGTTCTGGATATGTCCAGAACACACTGGGTGTTCTGGACATGCTGGGTGTTGTGGACATGCTGGGTGTTCTGGACATATCCAAAACACACTGGGTGTTCTGGATATGTCCAGAACACACTGGGTGTTCTGGACATGCTGGGTGTTCTGGACATATCCAAAACACACTGGGTGTTCTGGATATGTCCAGAACACACTGGGTGTTCTGGACATATCCAAAACACACTGGGTGTTCTGGACATGCTGGGTGTTCTGGATATGTCCTGAACACACTGGGTGTTCTGGACATGCTGGGTGTTCTGGATATGTCCAGAACACACTGGGTGTTCTGGACATGCTGGGTGTTGTGGACATGCTGGGTGTTGTGGACATGCTGGGTGTTGTGGACATGCTGGGTGTTCTGGATATGTCCAGAACACACTGGGGGTTCTGGACATGCTGGGTGTTGTGGACATGCTGGGTGTTGTGGACATGCTGGGTGTTCTGGACATGCTGGGTGTTGTGGACACACTGGGTGTTGTGGACATGCTGGGTGTTGTGGACATGCTGGGTGTTGTGGACATGCTGGGTGTTCTGGATATGTGCGTCAGATTTCCTGGTAGCATTCAGTGAAAGCAGAAGTGAATCTGCTGATATGAGACCAGAACCAGGCCGCTGAGTTCTGCAGGAATGAATGTTTAATGGACACGTTGGACTGAAGATGGAAAGTGTGTGCATTAATATTTCATATGGAGCTGAGGGGCTCATCTCAGGTCGGCTGGCTGATCAATCTGACAAAAACACAAACATGTGTTTCTGGAGTTCAGGTGTGAAAACATTCATAAATTTTCATTTCTTCTTTGCTTTGATGAAAACGACCAGTGGAAAATATTTTGTCCTGCGTGTCCGTCCCTGCTGCAGAGGCAGATGTCCGGCGAGGTTCGGGTCCAGCCCTGCAGCAGCATCCTGGAGCCTGTCGCCCTGACGTTGGCCGCCCTGGGGATGGGAGTGTCTCTGTACAGCGCCAGGCAGATGGCGGCGAGTCGCCAGAAACGTCACTGAGGAGCTTTTTGGGAATGTGACTGAATGTCTTGGGATATTGGAGACGGTTCGATTCTGAGGACGTTCAGGTGTTTGGAAAAAGAGAATTAAAGGAAAATGTGAAGTTTTGTCTGCAGGTGAGACGAGGCAGCAAGTTAAAGACGCGATCAGGGGTTTTCTTTTAGTGCAATATTAATTTTATTAGAAAATTAGACAATTTTACATGAAGTAATTGTTATTGTTGCAGTTCAACAAAAGGACTAATTGATTTATATTTAATGTTTGTCACTATTTCTTCCTCTTCGTCATTTGTTGTATCATGACCAAAACGCTGAAGAAATAACTTTATGCACAACGTCGTCTGACTTTATCAGCCACATGTTGTTAAACACTTGACACCTCTATTAAATAGATTCCTGTACTGTTTGTCTTCTCTTTCATTTTTAATTTAATTAAAAATGAAATCAGCAACTTTTACCTCCAATGAGTATCTTTATTCTCAGTTCTGCTCAAAAAATATTAAAAGAGCCCAAAAAATAACAAGATTGTTTTATGGTTAAAGAATAATATCTATTTATATATTTTTTTAATAAAGTCATTTTTGATTTCATGCTTGTGGAAAATTGAGGTCTGCAGTGTAATGACAAAAATGGTCAGAAAAGCATTTTCATTGCCATTATCTTTTTTTTTTATTCTTTACTGTTTTTTTAATTTAGTTGTGAATATTTGTCCATCAGATTTGAACCTTTTCCATCAAAACCTTTTATCGATCAGGAGATCCAGGCTTCATTAATTCAGAGTCGTGACCATTCCTCTCCAGCAGGTGTCGCTTCAGCTCCGAGTTGCACACAGAAGAGCAGGCTGGAGTTTCTTTGGGGAAACAGCGCCCCCGTGCAGTCTGACTGCGCAGGCGCGGCGTGAGCGCGTGGCCGCGGCGCGCGCCTGCTGATGAACAGCTGACCTGTTTCCTGCGGTGCCTTCTACCTGTGTGCGCAGTTTGAACATGAACGCAGAGTTTCTGCGCAACATCTGCGCCTTCACGTGGCGCGCGCCTCCCTCCAGTCGCTGATCGGAACCGCATCCATCCGAACATGGCCGTGCTCGGTCCAGGATCCGCCTCGTTTCGGTTCGGCTCGGTCCTCCTGATTCTCCTGATCCTCAGCGGTTCTTCCTGGACCAGAGATGTCTTCACTGGACGCAACGACACCAGGCCAGAACCGAACCGGGAGCATCACGACCAGGACCAGGACCGTGGAACCAACACCACGAAACACACCACGAAACACAAGAAGGCTTTCCCCGTCCTCGAGTTGAACTACGATTATGTCCGGATGCCGTTTGAGATTTCCCTGTGGATCCTGCTGGCGCTGCTCATGAAGCTGGGTGAGTCACTTCCAACAAACTTCACTTGATCAGGACGAAACTTCTGGCTGCGCTGAGAAGACAGGTAGAGGTCAAAGGTCATTGCTATAAATAAAGCAATCCAAAGTGCTTTGCGCCATAAAAACATCGCCCAGTGAAACCAGTAGCAACCAGTCCACTATCTAACGTCTTGATCAATATTCCTGTTAATCAATATCAGCTCTGATCCTTGATCTGAAGGAACTTAGTGTTTCTGGAGTTCTGCTGTTTTCTGGAGGTTTGTTCCAGATTTGTGGCGCATAGAAGCTGAGTGCATCTTCCCCGTGTTTGGTTCTGGTTCTGGGGATGCAGAGCAGAACCAGAACCAGAACCAGAACCAGAAGACCATAACTTTATAGTTAGAGAGGTGCTGCAGGTCTGGAGCTGCTGGTTTTCAAGAAAGTGTTATCTTGTCTGTGATATATAATTAGTGATCTTCTGTCGGATCTGTAATATTCTGACTGTGATGGTTTGATGACTCCAGTTTAATTACCAAAACCAGAAGCTTCCCAAAGTCTTGTGTGAAGCGAACCAGAACGTTGAAGTGAAGCACAGTGTTGGCGGTGTGATGGTCTGGGCTCCTTTGTTTCCTCCATTTCAAGGCTTTTCCACACAGGGTCAGATTGGCTGATATAGAGGATAAAACAAACGTAACTTTTAGCTGGAGTCCAAATGAAAGTAAAAGGTAAAGCATCTTTTTATTATAATGTGTTTCCCAGGCATATAGAGGCATTTCATAGCATAATCTAGTAGCTTCAGTTGTTATAAAAATATCAAATATGTCTTAAAATAATTTTAACTTTGTAATTTAACGTCCATCTAGGTAAAGAAAATACCACAGTTTTAAATAAGTGTTTCTATAGGTTGTGGTTATAATATAGGCAGTCGCCATGATTAATGACTTTGATTTTCTTCCAAAGTTAATGATGTTTTATTTAATATAAACCTAACTAAACCCACCTTTGTGAACCCTGTTCCTGGTCTACATCTCTAAAATATAAAAAACAAAACTACCTGACAATTTTCAGCAAAAATATCTAAGGATCTTGTTTTGAGTCAGTCAGTCATTGATGAAAAAGTACTAATTATAAGTGCATAAATTGTATTTTTTAAGTAAAAAAATTCTGCCTCATTTCAGGTGTACTAAGATATTTGCACTAAAAACTGTAAGATTTTGTTTTTACAGTGTGTCATTAAGTCACAGAGGCCACAAAAAAATCATGTCAGGGACCACATAAGGCCCCCGGGCCACACTTTGGACACCCCTGATCTCTGTGGTACTCTGCGGTGAGCGCACTGGGATCTTATCTGCAGTTTGGGGTTGCAGTGAGCAGAAGTTGAAATTAATTTGTTCCTCAGATCAGGTGGAGATGCAGTGAGGCCGAGGCTCCTACTGAGCATGCTCAGTCGTGGTTTATCTGTCGGCGCAGCTGTTGTCTCGCTGGGTCGGACCCACTTCCTGTTCTGATGCGCGGCCCGATAACAACCATCTCAGTGTGCAGAGTGAGGAGGAGGAGGAGGAGGAAGAGGAGCGTCGCCACGCGGACCCGAGTCACATGAGCGCAGAGTTCAGGAGACCTTCAGCTGCTTTCCTGATTCTGCATGACGACAAACTGAAACCTGCAGATGCTTCTACACTTTCAGCTGCAAAATCTCAATCTGGAGTCTCTGTGACCGACTTTGTTCATTAGTTGGTGGAAAATGATTTTATTTCTGGCTATGAGTGAAAAAAAGAGGATTTAAATCACATGACTTGGAGTTTTATTCTAAAAAATGCAAACTGTGCATCTTGTTCCTCTGTCTTCACTGTTCAGACTCTTTATGTTGAAAATGCAGACATGCTGGAGTTTATATAAGATAAATGGGAAATATTAAGTGTAATGCTTCAGGAATCATTTTTTAAATTATACTTCAACTGGAATAAAAACTCCATTTAATGTTTTTACAATTTTTTATTTTAATCCCAGAATTAAAGGTGGTGTTTGAAACTGAAGGAAATGATTAGCAAATGTGCATAAATAATAATAATAATGATAATAATGATGAATGATAAATGTTTTACATGCGTTATTGTGTGTATGTTGTCAACATTATGTTGTGCTACTTTAAATGATTGTTGCTTCAATATCTAAAAGCCCTGCTGCTCTGTTCAGTTCGTCTGTCAAACCTCAACTAACTTCATTAGATTCACTTTACGTTTTTAATGTCTCAGTGACACAAATAATAATAGAAACTGTAGAAGATAAAAAGAGTAAACAAAATATTTTTATTAACCGTTGGAGGCGTTTTGAAGTTTTGAGTGTTTAAATCAGTTTGTTTTGGTTTTTTATTGTTTTTACAGTTTTAGATTAATTGCTCTGAATCTGCTTCTATTTCTGCAAACGTCTTTTTTTAGTTTGCACTCCAGTGAATAATTTATTGATTGCTAATTTTGGTCACGATTATTTGAATGATCTATTGATCGTGATTAATCGTTTCAGCTAAATCAGACGAAACGTTACCAAAGTAAGTTCTACTGTCTGTAAACCAGAGGAACAGTTTTGATGAGTTTCCAGCTTTGGGACATTTTGAAGCAACAAGTTTCTTTATTAACTGAATCCGAGTTTTGTTCTCCCCAAAGGTTTCCACATCATTCCCAGAGTTTCCCACGTCGTTCCAGAGAGCTGCCTGCTGATCTTCGTCGGGCTGCTTGTTGGCGGCGTCATCAAAGCGATCAAGGAGAAGGCGCCGGTCATGGACACCAAGCTCTTCTTCCTCTACCTGCTGCCGCCCATCATCCTCGACGCCGGCTACTTCCTGCCCATCCGGGCCTTCACCGAGAACATGGGCACCATCCTGGTGTTCGCGGTGGTGGGGACGCTGTGGAACGCCTTCTTCGTCGGCGGGATGATGTTCGCCGTGTGCCAGATCGAGGCCGCCGCGGCCGCCCACGTGAGCCTGCTGTCCTGCCTGCTGTTCGGCTCCATCATCTCGGCCGTGGACCCGGTGGCGGTTCTGGCCGTGTTCGAGGAAATCCACATCAACGAGCTGCTGCACATCCTGGTGTTTGGAGAGTCGCTGCTTAACGATGCGGTGACGGTGGTAAGATGGACGCCTCACTACTGTTACAAGCGTGAGAAAATCATTTTAACATGAAAAGCTCAGAGCTTTCTGCTTGACTCAGCATTAAATACTGAGTTTATTTTTCAATTAACTGATCAATAAGGTGATGAACAGAGTCTGAGAGTAACTACATTTACTTAATCATACTCATAGATAAAAGTTTTATTTGCCATAAATACATTTTTATGTGTTTGACACAGTTTTGGTAAAATTACTGCTCTGTGCTGTTCTTTCAGGAAATGATCTTTTTTTCCAGTTAACGATTAATGGATGACTAAATTAACTATTACTTCTAGAACTGATTAGTCATGATTAATCGTTTCATCTCTAGTTTTCAGATGTATTAGTTTTAGCTTTGCTCAGATTTTGACGCAGCGTCTGCCTTGCGGTGTTTCTGCCCACAGGTTTTGTATCACCTGTTTGAGGAGTTTTCCCACGCAGAAACTGTTACCATTGGCGACGCCTTCCTGGGCGTGGTCTCGTTCTTCGTGGTTTCGCTCGGCGGCATCCTGGCGGGTGTCATCTACGGCGTCCTGGCTGCCTTCACGTCCCGCTTCACCTCGCACTCCCGCGTCATCGAGCCGCTGTTCGTCTTCCTCTACAGCTACATGGCGTACCTCTCTGCAGAGGTCTTCCATCTGTCTGGGATCATGTCGTAAGTGGAAAAATAAGATAAACCCAGATGTCAGGGAAATCTCGCGTCCCGTCCAGGTTTAGTTGCCGTTCCTGGCGGCTCGGTGTCAGATACCGCAGCAGAGGTCCAGCGGTCAGGATGAAACATTCTCTCATGTCGCTGTTGAGCTTTTGAGAACTTCATCACCTCCTTTTTCTCAAAGCTTGATTGCCTGTGGCGTCGTCATGCGGCCGTATGTGGAGGCCAACATCTCCCACAAGTCCTACACCACCATCAAATACTTCCTGAAGATGTGGAGCAGCGTGAGCGAGACGCTGATCTTCATCTTCCTCGGGGTTTCCACAGTGGAAGGCCCTCACAACTGGAACTGGATCTTTGTGATCTCCACTCTCGTCTTCTGCCTCCTTTCCAGAGTGTTGGGTCAGTTTAAGCAGAGGGCTGAGACCATTAATCAGATTAATCGTTACCAATTGATTGTTGAAATAATGTCATGACGTTACGGTCTAGACTTTTTCAACTTGCTTTAAGGTGTGGTAGTCTGAAGACATTGAAAAGTTATAAAACTCATTATTCTGGGCTTTAGCAAGTAGAAATCATGTTGGAGTCGACTGATTGAACGGGCTGAAATGATTAATCACTTTAATCCTGATTAATTGTTGAAATAATGACTTTTTCAATATATTTAAGCTATATTATTTAGTACATTTATTTAGTTACCTAAATAAGCCTATTAAATAATCTAAATTAGCTACTTAGCTAGTAAAATTTAGTTATTTACATTGACTAAGTTTAGCTAATAGCTGTTTGGTTTTCAGACATTTTCTACACATTAATAACAAAGCTACTAACTTGTCAACTTAGATTTTTCTAACAATAAAGTTATGTTGTTATTTTGAAGATAGAAAGTTTAATTATCTACTCGTCCACATTTTTTGACAAAATATTTTTTCTGCTTTTATTCTCTGCTGTTTTCTGTGGAACCTGACTCTGTCTGTCTTCCCGTGTATTTCAGGAGTCGTTGGCCTCACCTTCATTATCAATAAGTTTCGTATTGTGAAGCTGACCAAAAAGGACCAGTTCATCGTGGCCTACGGTGGCCTGCGAGGTGCCATTGCCTTTTCTCTGGGATACCTGATACATGAGGATCGGGACAACAAAAACACCAAGGGCATGTTCCTCACCGCCATCATCACAGTGATCTTCTTCACCGTCTTTGTGCAGGTGGCATTATTTAAATGTTTTGTAAGCTTTCATTGGCTCTAGTAGTTGATCGTTAATTCACAGCAAAGTGGTAATGAGAGAAGCGGAGACATGCAGGAAATGTCGCCAGGCCGGGAATCAAACCTGTGACAGCCGCTTTATGCTTAATCCTGGCACCACCACCCAAATGTTTGTGTTTTTAAAATGATTAGAGCAACCTGTCTGTAAATTGAAACTGGTTCCTGTCCTCAGGGGATGACCATCAGGCCTCTGGTGGAGCTGCTGGCAGTGAAAAAGAAGAAGGAGAGCAAACCGTCAATAAACGAGGAGATTCACACTCAGGTGGGACTTTCAGCCGTTGATACAAACCAAATAACGTAAAAATGACTGGATTTTAATTTAAAGCTTGTCAATAGTTCCTGGACCACCTGCTGACAGGAATCGAAGACATCTGTGGACATTATGGACATCATCACTGGAAGGACAAGTAGGACATTTCAAACGTTTATCCTCTCTCCTCTATGTCAATGTCTGATGAACAAAATGGAATTAAAATTTAGTTTTAACAGTTTCTGAGGATTGAAAACCAAAATCAGCTGCTCAGCCATGATGGCAGCATCATGCTGTGGGACCGGAAAGCTCCATAAATCCTTCATAATCACAGAGCAAAACTTGTTAGACCTGAACATGCAGCCACAGGTTTACATCAAAGCTGATTTACAGTTTAGGATGTCCTAGTCAAAGTCCAGACCTAAATCCAACTTGGAACATGAACAAATGACAATAACTTCAATTTAAATTCTTTTATTAGGCTTCTTTCAGCTCTAAATATTCCAGAGCTATATTTGAGGATTTTGTGAGGAAGAAAACGCAGGAAGTGGTTTGTTGGTTTGTTTTTGCAGAAAAAGGCGACGCTACGTTGGTAAAGAAATCATGTTTGTGCTTTTAGCTGAGTTAAACGTTTCCTAATTCACTTTAAATCAAAGTCATCTGAATTCAGTGGATAAAACTGGATTTAAGGTTTCAGGTTCAGGAAAGTTTTATTTTTCTGTTTCAGGCTGAGTCGCTTCAACAAGACGTACGTGAAGAAGTGGCTGATCGCAGGCGAGCGCTCCAGCGAGCCGCAGCTCATCTCCTTCTACAACAAAATGGAGATGAAGCAGGCCATGATGCTGGTGGAGAGCGGGAGCGCCGCCAAGCTGCCCTCCGTCATGGCCGCCGCCACCGCCGCCCAGTCAGTCTCTCTCTTTAGATTTATTGTTTTCATGCCTTCCTGTTGAATTCCAGTTACACCAGTTTGATATGCAGAGCTGTAGAAAGTGTTTAATCAGCAATCCCTCATACTGGACAAGCATGAGGCGACAGTGGAAAGGAAAAACTCCATTTAAGCTTTAATCTGAGCGAGCAGCTGGGGTTGGAGAAGAACCAGACACACAAAAAACACAGAATCAGGACCAGGAGAAGTTTCTATTACTGGAAAAGTCCCAAAAATTTTGGATGAGGAGTACCTTCTGTGTTAAAAAGTACCAAAATGTATACTTACTATCTCAAAGCTGCTCAGGTCCGGGTGTACCTTCTATGTTAAAAAGGTTCAGAGTTAAAAAGTTAAAATAGGCCCAGAAAATTTGGGTGGGGAGTACCTTCTATGTAAAAAAACATTATACAAAAAACACAGAAGCTCTGATCCAAGATCACCTTCTGTTAAAATCCCAAAAATGTAGAAGGTCTGGTTCAGAAGTACTTTCTATGTGAAAGGAAAAGTCCAAGAAATAAAAAACTTCTAGTCCAGGAGAACCTTCTATGTTAGTTACTTTCTATGTGACATAAATTTGACTTCTGTGTGATTAATTTGCTCCTTTCACAAGAGAAGAAAGTATTTCTAATTTAGTTTTTATTTCTTAAATCTTAGCTTTTATTCCCTCTTTCCTTAAAGAAACGCGGAGCAGCAGAGAGAACCGACAGCAGAGCGAATGATCCCCAAGATCTCAAAGACCCGCGAAGCCGAGATCCGCCGGATCCTTCGGGCCAACCTGCAGAACACGCGGAAGAGGGTGAGGAAGAGCGACGATGATGATGAAGGTTCTCACTTCCTGTTGCTACAGGAAGTCAGCTTTTTCCCCTCTCTGTCTCTCAGCTGCGCTCCTACAGCAGACACGACCTCTTCATGGACCCGTTTGAGGACAACCTGAGCGAGGTCCGCTTCCGGCGGCAGCGGGTCGAGATGGAGCGGCGGGTGAGTTCCGGTTCTGGTTCACCATCAGAACCGGGCCAGTCCATCGGTACCGAACCGGTCCATCAGGACCTCCGCCTGTAACGCTCTCTGTCCCCTGCAGATGAGCCATTACCTCACCGTTCCGGCGAAGCGACAGGAAACGCCGTCGGTCCGGAAGGTTTGGTTCCAACCAGGTTGGTTTGCATGGAAACGGACGCCGTCAGAAACATCAAAACTTTTCATGTTTTTTTAACTGACGTTTTATAACCGCCACAGGAGAAAGAGACTTCAAAGTTGAAAATAGAGATGCCCGATATATCGGCACCAACATCAGTATCGGACCGATTAATAAAACTGCACCGATATTAAGAAACAATATTTATTTTTCATCTGGTTGCCCTCTGTTTCTAGTCATTTTCTTTCTCATCACAGGATTAGAAACGATAGGCAAATATATGAAATATTTGTAAATATCAGTAATCTGATTTTCATTTCAGTAAAAAGTTTTTCCCTCCTCATAACTTTCCAGTCTCCGTCAACAATCGCTCAGGTTCATGTCCTCTAAGAAACTAAACAGTCAAACTTTCAACACAAATTATTCAAATTTAAATCTCTTCTGAAAACAGAGGCATTGTTTCAAAGTTTGTCCACCAGGTGGCGCTCAGATCATCTAAATCTGATGAAACAAACAGGTTTTTAATACTTTTTTAATGAAAAAATTAGTTTGTTTATGAGACACTGTCTGCTTAAAATATTTTATTATTTAAACATGAACTGTGGTTCTGATCCAATAAATTATCACAACCAGGATCTCAGTTTGAATTTCATGTCAAATATTTTCTAAAATTACTGCAGATTTTGCTGCAGATCTCATTTATTTTCTTATTTTATTTTATTTTTGTGTGATTGAAATATTTTAATACAAATTGCTGGGATGTGATGCACCTTTCAGGCCTTCATCAGTGATTTTTATTCTTGAAAATAAATTCAATTGAATAATTGTTGCTTTCTTTAATTGTTTTAATTTTATTTTTTTAAGAGGACAAAGTCTACACCTACAATGAGAACGATAGTTCCAGGCCGTCTGACAGCGCCGCCCTGCTGGACGAGTCGAATCGGAGCGCAGACGGCCAATCGGAGAGGCAGAAACCGACTCGCTGCCTGAGCGATCCGGGTCCCGATGAGGATGAGGAAGGAATCAGCTTCCGCTCGTCTCGATGAAGGTTTCCTCTCTGGACCGTTTGTTTTTCATGTGTGATGTGAAGCGACGCATTTCAGTGTTTTAAGCACCAAACGGACTCATCCGGGCATTACAAAGCACAAAGAAAGATCATCAATGAAGCAGTTGATCGATCAGTTTTACAGCTGAATGAGTCATCAGTCAGTTAATTTTATAATTAATAAAAGAGTAAAAAGGAAACAGCTGGAGGGATGGAGGAAGCCATCTTGGAGGAATTTACTGCATATAATCTATAAATATCCAGCCTAAGAAGAGATTTCGGACCTGGATGCAGTTTGGTCGACTCACAGATCAGAGATGAGCCATCTAGAATGACCACCGGGGGGCGCTTCAATCACTCCAGATCATTTGGTCCTGGTTCATCCTGGTTCATCCTGGTTCATCCTGGTTCATCCTGGTTCGTCCTGGTTCATCATGGTTCGTCCTGGTTCGTCCTGGTTCGTCCTGGTTCGTCCTGGTTCATCCTGGTTCGTCCCGGAGACGGACCGACTCTAAACACCGGCTGCTCCCACCGCTGTCAGAAGCTTCAGTGACTTCAGGTCCTGTTTGTAAAGTTACACTGTTAAAAATTAACAGCAACAGTTTGGATTATTTAGCCTGTCATGAAAACAATGGGAATACGTTTTTCAAAGTTTCACCAAGTTATTCATATATAAATGTCAGTGTTTCAAACTGGATATTTAATGAGCGAGCTGATTAGTAAGGATGAGTTAATAAACTTTTAGTTTGGAGCTACATATTTAACTCCAAGCTAACTTCCTTGCTCCCAACTAAATAGCGAACTTTCTGACTAGTTTGAATCTGATATTTGTAAATTAATGAATGACATGGTGAAAATAAGTCTTTGAAAAAAAAAAAGTTTTCTGATCTGGTTAAATAACTCAGAATATTGCTGTTAATTTTTGACAGTGTAACTTTCCAAACTGCACTCCCAGACGGTGAGATTACATCACTTCCGCCCCCTGGTGGCTGGGGTGACCAAACTACGTCCAGCTCTTCCTGCGTAGCAAATTGTTTATTTCACTGTAAATCAGTTGCTCTTCAAAGCTTGAACTATGTGTATCTGTCTGTCTTTTTTGCTGATTTTGTGCATAAAGACAGCATGAATTAAGCTGAGCACATCACTGCAGACACCAAACGCTGCTGTGCTGATTCTTTAGTGATCATTTTCGAATAATTTTGTGTTTTTCAACAAGCTTGTGCCTTATTCAGTTGCATTTCATTTATCTTAATATCATGAGATGAACTGAACAAAAACCTCAACATATTTTCCATGTCATTAAAAGATAAATATTGCAAAGGTGACCAAATGTCTGAACGACCTTTAATCACCTTCGGACTCATCCTGTTGCCTCAGGGACTCAAACGTCGGATCCCGGCTGCTGAAGGAAAACTCCGGTTTGAAGATTCAAATAGGATGTGATGTTTCATCTACTTCCTCCTAACTAAGCTTTAACGTCTGTCTGCATCTCCTGTGAATTACAAGCTTTTATATTTTGTGTTGTAGAAATCTGTCACTTGAAGAAAAACTATCATAAAATACGTTTACTGTGAATTTGGCTCAGTTTGTTGTTTATGGTGTTGAAACCATTTATTCCAGGAACTTTATTACTAAGTGAAACACATGCGGATATTTAAAACTTCATTTTTGTTATTTATTATAATTTTTGTCTTGCAGATAATTCAAACATGAAATTGAAAATTATAATATTACACCAGACCAATAAAAAAACATTTTGATGCAGACATGAAGCTTAAATGATGATTATGTTTAATATTTGTTTAAAGGTTAGTTTTCAATAAAATTATGTGCCAAATTGATGGTTGAATAATAGAAAGTGAAAGTGTTAGGTTTTACTTCATTATGTATTCTCATTTAATATTTTATTTACTTACATAATTTTTCAAATATTTCATCACTGCATTTTCTCCTTTGTCTATTAATTTACAGATTTATTCTTATTAAATCAAATAGGGTTTCATTTAATTAAAAAGATAGAAAATAATAAAATGGAAAAAATAATTTTTAAAAATGTTTTACCAAATTAAAACTTATTTAATACAGAATATTAAAAAAATGTTGAAATGAAATAGAGAAGGAAATAAAATGGAAGACTAAAAAATATTGATAATAAATTAATACTGTTGAAAATAAGTTAGGAAAGTTCCATTTTTAATTATTTTTGATATAACATTTGGTGCAGTAATTTGCCTAATCTGGCAGGATTGATCCTCCATAGAGGAGAACATACAAACGCAGATGTTAGTGTGGAAAACGTTGGTAAAAAGTGCAATAATGACGCATGTTGGACTGCTGGAAAGCTCTGTCCTCAAAGGAAATACCACTGACACACAGCAGGGAGCCAAAAATCCCCAACCTGGCAACCCGCTGCTGATGTTACTTTGACTATAACCTCTGAACACACAACTCAAGCAGCAGTTATGGACTTCAGCGGCACCTGGAAGGTTTACTCTGAGGAAAACCTGGAAGAATTCCTCAAAGTCATTGGTAAGAAGACGATTAAATTGCACTTCTTTCCCCCTACATGTCCTTAAACGCATCTTTCAGGGGCGCCAGAGATGGTGGTGAAGATGCGTAAAGATGTGAAACCAGAGCTGGTAATCAAGCAGAACGGCAGAGACTTCACCTGCACCATGAAGACTCCGTTCTGCAGCCACGTCAACTGCTTCACCGTCGGGAAGGAGTCGGAAATCCGCGCCCTGGACGGCAGGAAGGTCAAGGTGATCCAAACTTCTGCCTACACGGAGAAAACAGGAGAAAAAGAAGGAGAAGAGTTTAAAAATCAAACATTTGCAAAAAAAAAAAACTCAAAACTTTTTTAGATTAATCTTAGAAATTTTGAAGAAGAAACGAGAACATTTCTGAGCTTGAAAAGTGGAAAAATTTCTAGAAGAAAACCTCAAAAGAATTTAGATTGATTTCAGAGATTTTCTGGAAAAAACCTATGGATTCCTGAGTTTCAAAAATATTCAACTTTTTAAACTTTATAATTTCTAAAAGCCAAAAAATATCTGAGTTTTCTTGCAAATTTTCCACTTTTCACTCTCAGAAATGTCAAGTTTTTCCCCTAGAAAATTTCTGAGTTGTTTTCTGGTGGAAATTTACTTCTTCTTGTTTGTTTCTACAGTTTCTGATTAACTGTTGTATACATCAGACCTGATTGAAATGTGTTTGCAGAAAGCTTTAGGATCCGTTTATTGCCTTATTCCCTTTCCGACGCAGTGCACCGTCAGGGAAGAGGATGGGAAGCTGATCTGTGAGACGTCAAAGTTCACGTCTGTCCGAGAAATCCAAGGAGACGAAATGATCGATGTGAGGAGCCAACACGAAAATCAGAGTTTTATTGTCCTTACTTAGCTATTTAAAGTTATCTTTTTCTTTTCCAGACTATCACCGCTGGATCTGTCACGTTCATCAGCAGAAGCAAACGAGTCTGATCAGCACATATGCAACCTGGTTCATCTCATTTAAAGCCATGGGCCTTTATTTTGATCAGGAATACTGCAAAATAAAAGATATTTTTAAGAAAAATGTGTTCTGTTCAGTTTGCTAAACTGTTCATTCATTATATTTCAGTAATAAATGCTCCAACTGGTGATGACTTGGGGACCATTCATTAAAAATTATTTATATAATATCTATATTCCAGTGAATTTATGTCTTATCTTATAATATTAAGGTAAGATCAGTTTAGCTGATCTGGAGGTGTAATACCAGAGCATGGTCTAACACTGTGGTGTTAGTGTAGCGCCAATTAATACCCGAGGGTATTAATTAGTTAATACCCTCAGTCAATACCTGAGGGTTTTCACTGATGTAAAATGGTTGCCTTCAATCATCCTGGTTCTGGTTCTGTTGGCTCCTCCTGTTCCTTTCCTTACAGACAGAGATTTTAATCTGAATTATTAAGTTTTATGAAGTTTAAGGTCTGTGAATAAAAGGTTGGCAATTATCTGTATTATAGGAAAAAATTGCGGGAAAATATTAATACAGGACGGAGGGATAACGGGAGACTTGATGGGCTGTTTCAAGCCATTTGCAGGATCAGTTCTTCATATCTAAGGGCCAATTTGGGGTTATACCATCAAACACCGGTGGGGGCGCTGTGGAGATTCTGTTTGTGTGGAAGAAGAAGTAAACGGCGCTCTATAACTGCGCAGTCTCGCTACTGGTCATTTTTCCGTTCGGTTGGTTTTGGTTAGGATAAGATTTGGGTCTTTTTTCCTTCTGCTGATTGTGTTTCTGTATATTTCCGGATACATGAGGCCACCGAATACGTCTCTGTTTGTCCGGAACATCTCTGATGAGTCCAGGTGAGTTTCAGGAGCCGATTCAAGTCCGGGTTATCGGCAGTTAGCCGCACGTTAGCTTAGCAGCTAAAGATAGCCGCGTGCTCACGGACTAAAAATAAACTAGAGCAGACATGCCTACAAAAACAACTTTGTTTTCAGACTTTACATACTGTTAAATTGTGATTTATTGTGTTTAAAATCGCCCCTGCGTTGTTTTAACTTGTTTTAATTTGGAGTGAAGCTAGCAAGCTAACATGAGCTGATGAACAATGGTCTGAATGTTTCAGAACTCAGAATCTGTTGTAACTGTAATTAAACGACTCATCAGAACCAGCAGCACTTTGGGTCAGAACCACAGGGGAGTGCGGTACCGAAATATTGCACTTAACTGAGGGTAATACTACCTAATAAGTTAAATAAATATATTAATGAAGTGAAAGTAAAAACGTTGACATTCAAGAAATGACTTAAGTGAGAGTAAAACGGGGTTTAATGAAAATTAATCAAAACACCAAAATTAATATTTTAAAATAATGTCACCATGCAAACAATTGTACTTTTATGTGCAAATTATTATATTTTAAAGACTAAAATGATCAAAGCGGTTCAAATAATTACAAATTAACACATTTTAAGCAGAAAAAGCACTTTCCAATCATTTATATAAAACTTATACATTATTTACTGTAAGCAGAGGTTTTATATGTTAGAACAGGTTTCATATATTTTCAGTGATATTGCATTATATTTTCTAAACAGTTTGAGCCAATAATAAATAGAAACATTATTTTATATTCAGTGGACACAATAATAATAATAATATTCCAGTCAAAGGTACGATGTATAAAGCTACTTTTAAAAGTGTTTTTGTTTTTTCAAATATTTACAAAAGTAAATGTAACTAGTTACAACCCACCTCTCGTTTAAATTAGTCAATTAAACATTGAGTGAAATTGTAATTCTTTAATTATGTGTTAAATGTCTGTATTTCTCCTACCTGGGTTTTGAAATTAAACCCATTAAAACTGTATAGACTAGTTTGGTGTTGCAGCTGGTGGCAGATTTTGTGTGGAAACTCCATCAGTTAAAAAAATTAAATGTGGCAACTACCTTTTGAAATGTTTTTGGAAGAAAAATATTAGAACTGTAATTAAAGCTTCATGTTGACTAGCAGTAGTTACTCCTGAGTAATTAAACTTAAAATGAAAATCAATGTTCTGTAGCCTTCAACTTGAAATGTTTTTATTTTGCTGTAGGAATGTCTGGTTTCACTGATTTGTTGTTTTTGGTGAACAGGGTTTGGATTGGATTTGCAAGGAGCATTCAGGTCTAGAATGAACACCAGGGGGAGCTAGTGATGGCATCTGGAGTAGCCAGAGTTATCAGTCTGTCCATGAACTAATAGTAATAATGTTTTCTTTTCGTTCGAGGTGTAATTATATCAGAGCGTCATAAGATGAAGGATTCACAATAATTTGTTTTGTAACTATATACAATCCCTCCAGTTTTTATAAAAACACAAAATCAAAAGATCCCTACATTTTGTTTTCACGCTGAACAATAATAGTCAGTTTATTTTATTGCAAAATTTCTACATAAATGATGAAAACCACGTTGGGTTGAAGTGGTTCCAATTCCTGCCTGTAGGGGGCAGTATTTCTCCTACTGCTCTGCTGCCTCAGCCCAACTTTATATTGCGTGATTGTGATCAATGTGAATGCTTGTTATCTTTTTTTCTTCTATATGTAGATTTTAGACAAAGTTTAATTAGGAACAAATATTCTATAAATTAGCAACATGAAACGAGTGATTTTATCTGCAAAACAGAGAAACGATGTAGAAATCCTGGAGTAGAAATCCTGGAGTAGAAATCCTGGAGTAGATTCTGTTTCGATGCATCGGCTGCAACTCGGCTGAATCAAGCGAAGGTTCACCGTCGGGAACCTGCTGACGTTTAAAGGAAACATTTGGTTCTGGTTTGTTTTTTCAGATCCTGTGTTAAAGGTTCATTAGAAGATAAAATTTATCGATCTGAGAAAGTGAACATTATCATTACACTAATTGGCTAAAAAAAATCTAATTTATTGCATTAATTTCTGTGACAGTTTTATCATCCAGGTGTAAAACAAATCCTGTTATTGCAAAACTTCATTTGTTTCTTTGGGATGGCAGTCATAAAGTGTGATTTGTGTCAGAAAATCACTGAATCATATTTTCAAACTTATTGATTAAACAGTGGAGTAAAGGATGAGAAGCCCCAGCAGGTTCAGGGGTTTTTAACGTCACTAATTGGAGTTTATTGTGCGAAGCGACGGCGTTTGATTCCAGACGATTGAGCTCCTTGCAAAGCTGATCACTTGCATCAAACCAAAGTCTGACCTTAAGCAGCAGAGTGTTTTTCTGTATTCATTTAAATGTTGAAATGTTTAACTTGTTTTAGATGCTTCCTAACAGTTAATTTGCAGAGAAGTGAATGTGTTAACCTGCAGCTGTGATGTCCAGGTAGTTTAGAGCTGAAGTGAGCAGCTGCTCTGTAGGTGATGCTGCAGAATGAGCCATCAGCTGAGTCACGCTTGTATTTGCGGTGTTCAGGCCTGAGGATTTGCGGCGTGAGTTTGGCCGCTATGGGCCGATAGTAGATGTCTACATCCCACTTGACTTCTATACACGTCAGCCAAGAGGATTTGCATACATTCAATATCCTTTCCCAATGTTAACCGCTCACTTCTCTCTGCACAGAAACATCTGCTCTCTGGAGTTTTTCTGATTTTATTTCTGCTAAAGATTCTGACTGAATATCTAACATTGATATTTTTCTGTTATTGCTTCAGAAAATGTAAAAGCATCCGGTTGTGGAAGCAGCCACAGAGTTACAAAGACCCATGTAGAGTAGCTGTAAAGACACAGAGCCCAGAGGGAGGGAAAAGGTTGAACAGAAAGTAAAGCATGAAGAGGAAAAGGGAACCAAGACAAAGCTTGGAAATGGCGGGAAAAGAAAAGAGGTTTAAGAGGAAAGAGCAAGCAGGAAATCCAAGTCTCTCTGGGAGTCGGTTAAAGAGTGTAAAGATCAAGATCAAAGTCAAGCATGGCCAAAGGTAACAAGTCCGAATTATTTTGTATCCTCCCAAAAAAGAAAAAACAACAACCAAAAAAACAAATCTGTAAATCTGACACCAAAAATCAGCTGTTTGATGCTTTTTAATTTTGGTCAAAACAATCTGCTGATGTTTTATTTTTTATATTTATTGTCCTGATCCTGAAACGCTTGCTTCATCTTTTATCTCTACAAAAAAAAAAAAAAAACCCAACCCAACCAATCAAGTGTTTGTTTTCTCACTTTGCCTCTTCCTTTTATCTGTGTCATCGTTTTTGACCTGGTCAGTTAAAGTTCATGTTCTGTGCTGCCTTCATATCCTGACTCTAACGTTCCCAAACCAACCAGCGGATCTGGAAATGTTCCCGTTTGTTTTTCAATCCAAAACGACAAACTGAAACCTTAACTGCTCAGCATATTTGAGGATGTGAGAGACGCTGAAGACGCTCTGCACAGTCTGGACAGGAAGTGGGTCTGCGGCCGCCAGATCGAGATCCAGTTCGCCCAGGGAGACCGCAAGAGTGAGAGTCCGCCTTTCCTTTCTGTCCCACTTTTAGGGAAGTGGTTTCTAGTTTTTACGCTTCCTGGTTTTTCTCTCCAGCTCCCAACCAGATGAAGTCGAAGGAGCGGCGTTCCCCGGGCCGATCTTCTCGCTACGACGACTACGACCGAGACGGCTGGCGCAGGAGATCCCGCAGCCGCAGCTACGAAAGATACCGATCCCGCAGCCCGTCGTACGACCGGCGCCGCCGGCGGTCCGAGAGTCCCAGAGAGTGAGTTGAGTTCAGCAGCAGGACGACTGCAGCGCTGCAGCCATTAGTCACATCAATCAGTAATCAATTAAACGCCAACTGAAGCATAGAAGCCTTTGCTCAGTTTCAGAGCAGCAATGAAGCCAAAACTGCACAAAACATTTAAATCATCTGGACTTAAAGCCCAGGAATCTTCAAGAATATAAACTGGTGACTTTGAATAAAGTCATAAATATTCTGGTCTTTAGCATGAAAAATATCAGCTTAATCTGATCTAGTAAGGCTGAAACGAATGCTATTAATCAATTACTCAAATCAACATATTTCACAATCGATTAATCGTTAACTGGAGTTTATGCACTGAAAAAAGTCAATTTGCTGAAAGAACAAAATATTCAGAGCAGAAATTAAGTTGAAACATTTAGAATTTATGATAAAAAAATATTTGGTTGTAAATCTACCAGAACAGTTCATAAAAATCCCATTAAGTACATTTAACTACCCAATCAGTGACCATTTAATCAATAAATAATCCCTCTTTCAGATCTACAAGGCAGAAGATTTCAGATGAATCATCTGCCACAAACGTTACATTAGGAAACGCTGCTGTTTGTATTTTAGGCAAAAAGTAAGAACAATTTAAAGCTGTCGTTTTCCACAGGTTGATTTTCATTGTTGTTGTTTTTATTTCTTAATATTTCCACTTAAAATATGTCTGAATTCCTGAATATTCTGGGTTAAAAGAGTGACATCGTTTTATTTTGAAGATCTCGTGGACGGATGTATGGAAGAGGAAGAAGCAGGAGCCGCGAAGACGAAAGGTGAGTTTCTGTCGATTTTATGAAAACCATCACAGAGCCGTCATGTAGATGGAGAAACGGGGACAGTTTGGAGATTAATATTCATTTCTTTTTGAAAAACCATTAAAGAAAATGTCTCCAATAATAAACTATGCTAGGCTTTGCAACATTATGAGATATTTATCTGTGTGTTTGTCGGACCGCCTGGCTGGTCTCTGCCTGCAGGTACCGACAGCGGCCCCGTAAGGAGTCCAGGCGGAGGTCGCGGTCCCGCTCCGCGTCTCCGCGGGAGGCCATGAACCCGGCGGCCGCCTCCCACTACACAGAGGAGCCGGCGCCGCCGCGCCACGCCCCGTCCCACTCCAAGTCCCGCTCCATGTCCCGCTCCCGTTCCCGCTCCCGCTCCTGGGCCGGCCGGAAGTCCGGCGGCCGCTGACGATCCGATCTCCTCTCTCTCATATGAATGTGATGCCGTTTGTAGGAAGCTCCCCGTTTTCCAGGCCTGTGTGCCGCTGATACTTTTGGTTTTATAAAAATATTTCTGTCCTTTCGTTTTTCTCCCAGTTGGAATATAAAACACTGGTTGGTGTGTTTTGCGGTGAACCTGCCGCGGTTCTAATGTTTCCACTCGGTTTCTTACTTTTCTGCAGCTGCTTGTTTTTGCTAAACTAAAACGTTCAGTATTTGCTGCTGAAACTCAGCAGGTGTTTTAATCCTGCTGCCTTGCAGCTCAGTGATCAGTTTAAATGTGACACGACGACGTAGCAGAGTCATCGCAGGACGAAACGCAAAGTAAATTTACAATAAAAAAAATGTCCATTTAATTTGAACAAGTTTTTGCTCTTTTTGTTGGAAGTTTACTTTTTTATTTTCTTCATTATTAATTTCCGAAGGCCCTGCTACTGTCGTAGTAAGACGCTCAAAGTGTTAAACGTTTTTATTTTGATGGTGTTTTCTTCTAGTTCCTGTTCTGAGGAGCAGCGGTTCCTCGTTGACTCCAGTGTCCCTGCATGTCTTTTTCTCCCCGTTTGCTGTCTTTATTAGGAAGAAACTTTTATTTTCAGTAATAAATCAACAACATTCAATACCAGAGCTCCTGTGTTTGGCTTCAGTTTGTGAACTCCTCCCCCTGAGGATTCGGATCCGAACCGTATGTTGGTGTCGGATCAAAATAATCGATTTCCTGTTAATGGAACAGCAGCCGGAGGAAGAATGAAATTAAAAACACAGCAGAGCGGCGGCCATGTGTGAAATCGAACGCGTCTCATTGATCTGCTGCTACAAAATGAAGGTGCAGGTATTTCGTCACTTCCTGTCACTGTGGCGGGAACCAATGAAATCCTGGCATTTCTTTATGTCCCGCCTCCAGCTGCATCTCAGTAAAATATCTTAGTTAGAAAAGTAGAGATTATCCAGTGGTGTCAGCTCCAGTCCTGGAGGCCCCGGGTCCTGCAACTTTTAGATGCGCCTCTGCAGCATCAACTGAACAGAATAATCGGGTCATTGAGGTTCTGGAGAACTGAGCTCCATAAGGAGGTAATGGAGCCATTTCATGCCAGTGTTTTGTATCTGCGGCTAATCTAAAACCTGCAGGACATCCTGTGGATTCGACCAATTAAAAATGTCTTAATAGAGAAATAATTCAGAATCTCCATAAGTTGGAATATAAGGAAAAAGTTGCACTTTTGATTCTCGTTTCCAAAACTTTTTTTTAAAATCTATTTGGTAATAGCTACAAAGGCCACACTAAGAAAATAAAAATAAAATCTCTAGAATAATCAATATTACAAGAATTAAATCAAAGATAAAACGAAAAAAGTTAAATTACGGCAAATTATTAAGAACACGAGAACACAGTCATAACAGAACTATTTTTCTCCTATTTTGTTTTATTCTGGTGATGTTATTTCTTTCTCAGAATAGTTGGCCAAGATTTTCTTGCAAAATTAATTTTTTATCCATATTGGATTTTCCTTGTGAAATAAAAGTTAAACATTTTTGTTTAACTTTTATTTTATCTTTTTCTTTGTTTGGCCCAAATAATTCTTTGTATAGCTTACAAAAAAAAAATAATAATAATACAATTTATTATTGTGAAAAGGTTGATATAAAATTGAGTGGAAGAAAAACCTGTGGTGGGGAAAAGTTTTCAGGAAGTTTCAGAGCACTGCCTGCTTCTTTCTGCTGATGGAACATGGTGCTTGGTACTGACTCACACCACTAACGGTACCAGAATCTGGTCCAATAACTTTGCTTTTCCTTTGCTTTTTTACTGGGAAAGAATTTAAAATATGCTTTTTAAAATGAGATTTTGATCTGTGGGACACAAAACTTATTTACAGTAAGAGCCAGAATCAGAAGAAACAACACATTTTAAGCTGCATCATGGTTGGATGTTTGTTTGTTTGTTTAGTTACAGATCCAAATAAAAAAATGTGAATTTTGCATAATAGGCCCCAATTAGTTCATGTCAGTCTGGATTATAATCCAGGTCGGAGGTTCTGTCAGGTCCTGGTTTTCCACCTCAGACCAATCAACCCGGTTCGGGGTCTTCTGGGTTCAGCCAGCTGGCTGCACATTTTCACCTCCTGTGACCTGCAGCCGGTCGGTTCATTCAGCTGCGAGGGAAATGGCAGCAGAACCGGGCCGCGGTATCGATCGTTTGGGTCCTGAACAACCAGAGCCTGCAGGGATCGATCCGTTCAGTTCGGTTCTGAAGCAGCACGGAGACCCATGTCTCTGCACACAGCAGTAGCAGCGGGATTATTATATTTCATATCGAGGATGAGAGGTGAGTTTCAGTTCAGAGTTGACACTTTAAAAAGATCTGAATGCATTTTGTACAGGTTTGGCATTAAAGTTTAGTGGAACTGTTTAAATATCTGCTTTCATATTAAACTATGTGCATCCTCTGCAGACAGGGTTTTATCAGATCTTCACATATTTGTGATTTTCTACATTTGTTTAAAGCTCCAGTGTTTTTGTCACAATTCTAATAAAATCAGAGCAACGCGACAGCATTGATTACTGACAGCAGTCAGTTTCTATATGATTCATCAATGCGTTGTTCATGGATGCATTCAAATCATTAGTTCATAAGCTGTTTTAATATTGATCTTTAAGTTATACTGGAATATGAGATCAGTTTTAAATATTCCCTCTGTCCTGGGAGCATATTGTGATTTCCCAGGATTTCTTATGATTATTATTAATGTGACTTTTTGGAAGGAATATCCAGTGAAGTTATTATCGTATCGTATCGAAAAGACGTTCTTGAAAACGGAAGTAAATTCTCCAACTGCAGGAAGTGACTGGCCAAAATAAACAGCAATAATTTCTACTATTTAGTCTCTCATCAGAAATAAAATACCTAAATAATTTTACAATGTTATTTATTCATTAATAAATGTCATTTTGAAGCTAAATGTCTAATTATGATGTAAAATATGTAGCTGTGAACTGAGATTTAGCGCTAATCTAATATGCTAATTCACCTGCTGAAAACTGGACTACCAAACTTTGGACTACCAAAATAAAAGGCGGGTCTGCCATTGCTAATTTCGAACTCGTCATCGTTGTTTACTACAGCTTTTATTTTGATAGTGTTGAAATAGAATTTTAAGTTAGCACAATACTGCACAGGATAGTTTTTGATACATATGAAATATAACATAGAAAGTTAAAGTACACTCTATGTTCATATAAATTTAGATAATACTAGAACAACGGCTCACTCTCTGAACGCAGATAAATTTTTAAAGGAGGATTAGACAGAAAACAGGCCTAGACTCCTTGGATCTCTTTAGATAGGGAGTCTGTCTGCCAGGCAATTAACAAATTCCTGAGCATGGTTCAAAAGTTCACTAGGATCTTAAAACTTTTTATAAATAATTTTATCTATATTAGAATTAACTATATTTCTTTAAGCATGTTTTTAATTAGTTACTTATTAGATCCAAACTTATAGTCATTATTTAGCATTACATTGTGTGCAAGCTTGGTTAAAAATACAAACTACTTTCTTGTGGAAACATTTTGAGGCAGAGATAATACTGCAGCTGCAATCATATATCAAACTGGACAGCAGCTGGTACGAGAAGAGCTGAGGGGTTTTCCATATATCTGCCTTTGGGGCTCTTTAGCAGGAGGTAATAAAATTAACATTGAGACAGCCCACACAAAGGAAAAGAACACACCTCCTAATGCATATATTTAAATGAGGAGAATATGCATTCTATAAAATGATTTGTTTTACAGCAGAAGTTGGAATCTCTTTGTGCTGAGTGAGAGTTTCCCGGAGGATGCATCTTCTGTTAATCTTTTGTCTGTTTACTCAGTTCTTTGTCTCTGTTTTGTCATGTCCTGGACTTTTGATCTAGGTGAGATGCTGTTGGAACATTCTATATTGCATTGAATTCTTTGGATAAAACTCTGAATATCTGAAGTCTGACATCGTATGATTGCTCTTTTATCTCTGCACACTTACACAGACACAGGAATTCAGGACAAAGAATTAATTAACGAGCTAAATCAAGTTATTCCTATTTTTAATTCTTAACAATAGTCAACTTCCAGTTATTAGTAAGTGAATTTAAATATTAGCTTAAATATTAGCCGAATGTTGAAATGTATAGCAAAGAGCTAACTATTTAGCACACTAACTAGTTTGAATCTAAGTAGTTTCAAATTACACATTTAATGCAGAAACTTAATATTTAGCTAGAATCTAAATATTTAGCTAGAATATTAAATATTTAGAATCTGTGAGATTTATAAATGAAAGTGATGACATGATGACAATGTGACTGTGAAACATGAACCCATTTTTTCTCTTGACAGACTAAACAACTCAAATTATTGCTGGTATCAATATAATTCATTATAAATCTCTCTCCATACAGCAGTGGTTTCTACTAACTTCAGTCATGTAAAAAGACAAAATGTTCATATCAATAAATATAACACTGTTCGTTGACAGTAATCGTCTACAGTTTCACAAGAGAGCAATGTCACATTTGGTGCATGTTGGCTGCATCCGTTACTTACGACCCATCAATTCTTTCTTGGTCCACCAATAGAAGACTAATCTTTGAGTATTTGTGGACCTGCCACCAAGTGAAGCAACATTTTTTGACTACAGGTAAAGGAACTGACTGATGGCTTCACAGAGGTCCATGCGTAGTTGAGACAGACATCCGCCATGTCTGCTACTTGGAACTGTCCAATTGGATTGTGGGAAATTAAGTCGTGTGTCATAAGAAATGTGGGGAATCGGTATGCTAGGGTATGTATGCGAACAGTGCCAGCAGAGTCCACGTGACTTCCAGAATACACACAGTACTTATGTGAGTTTTAAGAGGCAGTGAACGATGTACAACTGTTCATCTCTGAGAGTCCATAAAGGCATTGATCAGTTTGTGCCCCTTTGTGGCGTTCCTATTGACTTGTCTACATTGTGATATTTTAAACTTGTCCATATGAGCAGCTGATGTACGCTCGTAATGTGTACCTTTTCAAATCTTATGTGTTAATTCTAAATGTGTGTTTCTCTACCAATTCCAGCCCTGCTAATGTAAAAAATGGGAGACTGGAATTTCCTTGGTGGGATCTTGGAGGAGGTCCATATCCACTCCACCATGGTAGGCAAGATCTGGCTTACTATCCTATTCATCTTCCGGATGCTGGTGCTGGGCGTGGCTGCAGAGGATGTGTGGAACGACGAACAGTCCGACTTCATCTGCAACACAGAGCAGCCTGGCTGCCGTAACGTCTGCTACGACCAGGCCTTCCCCATCTCCCTGATCCGGTACTGGGTGCTCCAGGTGATCTTTGTGTCCTCGCCATCCCTGGTGTACATGGGCCATGCTATTTACCAGCTGCGTGCTCTGGAGAAGGAGCGACACTGCAAGAAGGTGGCGCTGCGCAGGGAGCTGGAGGCTGTGGATGCAGAAATGGTGGAAGTGAAGAGGAGGATTGAGAAGGAGATGAGGCAGCTGGAGCAGGGGAAGCTGAACAAAGCCCCCCTGAGGGGTTCGCTGCTGTGCACCTACGTAGCTCACATTGTCACTCGTTCAGTGGTGGAGGTCAGCTTCATGACAGGTCAGTACATCCTCTACGGACACCGCCTGAACACATTGTATAAGTGTGAGAGGGAGCCGTGCCCCAATGTAGTGGACTGCTTCGTCTCCAGACCCACGGAGAAAACCGTCTTCATGATGTTCATGCAAGCCATCGCCTGCATCTCCCTGTTCCTCAGCCTACTGGAGATCATGCATCTGGGCTTCAAGAAAATCAAGAAGGGCATCTTGAACTACTATCCTCATCTCAAAGACGACCTGGACGACTACTACGTTAGCAAGTCCAAAAAGAACTCTGTTGTGCATCAGGTGTGCGTTGGAACTTCAGTGGGACGCAAGAGTACGATTCCCACTGCTCCTACAGGATACACCTTACTGCTGGAGAAGCAGGGCAACGGACCCAACTACCCCCTCCTCAGTGCTTCCTCTGCCTTCGTCCCAATTCAAGGGGATCCCAGTGCAAAGCCGGAGGGCCACAAGGACGTCAAAGAAGGAGTGCCAAGCCCCACAGAACAGAATAGTAACTCCAACAACACCAGCAGTGAGACACGCTCACCTCCTATGGACAAACATGACGAACCAGAGGATCTCTCCTCCCCCCACCAAGACGACTTGGAGTGTGAGAGCTCAGAGTACCCCACTCTGCCTGTGGCAGACACCTCCTCTTCCACCACATTGTCAGGCATAGCAAGGAAGACACGGCGGCTCAGTCCACCGTGGAACTGCTCGACGGTGGTTGAGGGGAACTGTTCGGACAGTGGAGACTCCTACCATGGAAACGGCAGCATGAAGCTTCGCAGCAGCTGCGCCGGCCCCAGAGCAAGGATCGTCTCCAAGTCGGACTCGAAGAGGCCTAGCAGGTCCCAGAGCCCAGACTCTGTGGGAGAACTGAGCTCAGTGTCTCGACACAGCCGGGAGAGTAACAGTCCTGTCACTTCTTCACCGAACCGAAGAGTGTCAGCGGCAAGCAGCGGGAGCAGCAGACGAGCCCCGACTGACTTACAAATTTAAATCTGACTTCATTTCAATGTGCTAAAAGTCCTGATCCAGTCCTTTATTTATATTTTTTTTCTAGCCAGAAGTCTCTGAAATCTTTAAAGTGGTCTTGTTTAATTTTTCGCCAAGATTGTGTGTGGACTTTTGCTGCTTTTTATGGCAGTTTCAGAGGAATGTCTTTTTGTTTGTTGAGATTACTTCTCTCTGAATCATTCAACCCATCAACTGGGATATGGAGTTACCTAGATTTCTAAATGCAACAGCAGTCTTGATCAACAGTTCTTCAGGATTTCTGAAGGTCTTCTAGAGTTTTTCTGTGGAGATTGATTTGATTTCTGTCTACTATCAGAGGAATATTTTTAAAGCCTGCAATTCTGACCTATAAGTAAGACTCTTAAACACAAGTGTTGTCTTGGGCTCAGATTTGTTCTTTGGGCATGTTGTCAGCTTAATCTGAATAAATCACTTGAACATCAGGGTTTAAAAGACAGAAGACAAGATTTTAGTCCCAACTGGGTAATTCCCAAAAGCTGTTGATGAAAGCATTGGCATACTGTCAATGATCAACTGAAGGATGATGCATTCCTCAGTCAGGTCTTTGCCAGATTACTTGGGGTGTTTACCTGAGATGTTTAGTCCCGTTGTTTGTTTCCTACCTTGATTTGGTTCATTTGTGTCGATGTGAACATAGCAATCAAGACTTTAAGTGAACAAACTCAACTGATTGAGACCAAAGTAAACAAACTACATGTGTGAAAACACCCTAAATCTAGAAATGGTTGGGGGCCAGAACGGGATTGAAACCAGGGGATCCAAAACCCAAAGAAGACCCCTGGAACACCTCCAGAAAGTCACAGTGGATGACAAACTAAGAAGCTTTTCAAGATTAAAGGAAAGTCTTGGCTATAGGCTTCAACAAACGCAACTAGTCCTCAGCCACTTTAAAATCGATCGCTGCCCAAAGAGATTACCATCTTGATGGCAGAGAAAAGTTCAGATCACAACCATACAACCTTCTTTTGTGTACCACTTGCAGGTCAGTTTTAGGCCAACAGATCGACTTGTAATGATTCAGCTGAACACAGGCTGATGTACCACAGGGAATGGAAAAACCAACGCATTGATCTGTAATGTTTCAGGCACCATCGCACAGTCATTCAAACAGACACTTTCAGTTCAGAGGTCTGGTCTGAATTTATCCAAACTCAGAACAAACTCAGAAATAATAAGCCAAAAAGATGTCTGCTTTGCTCTGGACAAGTTTTCTGTTGTTTTTTATAGTCAATGTGAAGCGGACCCACTGTGACAAGACAGTTTTAGCGCCATCAATCACCCTCTGTGTGGTGTTGCTCATACCTCTCTGCTTCTCCCCCTTTGCTTTCTGTTACACTGCAGTTTAGCAAAGCATGCTGTGAATGCTAAGGCCAGTTAGCATAGCCACTGATGACATGGAATAAACGGTTTTCCTGTAACGCTAAGTTCCCCAGGGTGTCATTTATGCCTCTGGTTCCAACATTGAAATCTTGTCTGAATTTTTTGTATAAATATTATTTTTTTACTTAATGCTCAGAGAAACAGCTGTTATCTAAAATAATCTAGTTTTATGTAAAAAGTTGAGACGATGTAAACATGGCAGAAAATAGTTTTATTCGGGAGCAGCAGCTGGTTCTTATTTAACAAAAATCAACAGTCTGTCTTCACTTCACTGTAATAATGAATAAAGAAATACATTCTGTACAAAGAAAACGACAAGTTTAATGTTCTTTTATACCACGCCCTCCGGCTGCTGTGGAGCGCCCTCTTCAGGCGACGGTTCATACTGCAACAACTGCGAGACGAGGAGAAACGGGAGGTTATGATGTTCTCAGCTCTGAACACACAGACACATCGACAGCCGAGCGTCTCACCTTGTTCCTCAGCTCTTTGTTCTCCTCCATCAGCAGATTGAATTTCTGCTGTAGATCGGCCAGCTCTGTCTGCAGAACCTCAGTGTCCGTCTGCTCTGCACTCACCACCCCCCCCAGGTGGACCTTTATGTAGCTGAGACGCTGGTTAAGGTCCGGTTATGATTCACAGAAGGCTGAGGAGGTTTAGGAGATTACAAGGACTCTAAAAAACCCATCTGAACTCATTTCGAACTACAGAATAGATCAGAAATTCCTTTTATTGTCCCTGTAGTAGTGCAAATAGTGGGAACAGTTCTACATAAACAAGGTTTTATATGCAGTGTTGGGGTATTGAACGGTTTTAACAGCAAATTAGCAGAGAAGGTAAAGATAATGTTTCATTATCTGAAAACAAACTTCAACAAATAAACATTTGAGCTCATAACGTTTGCAGCTTTCTGACCTGAGAGATTAGAATCACTAGGCACACTGTGTCCCAAATTAATTATAACAGAAAAAATGTCTTAAAATTATAGAATTTAAAATCCAATCAAACAAATCTGTTATTAAATACAGTCAAAATGTAAACAGTGAACATAAAGACAACAACTCCAAACTTTCTGGGAAGGAAATCATATTTTCCTTAAAGTTCAACTAGAAATAACTGCAGGAGCAAGACCAAGTCTCATTTTAGATATTCAAATATAAATACAGCATTTAAACAATATGTCATTTAATTTTAAAAGGATACTCAAGTGCATTGTCTGGTTTGTCTGGTTCTTCATAAAGAGCCACAAGCACTGCAAGACAGAAACTGATAAATCAACACAGTACTGAAACATACATGGAATAACAATTAAATAAAGCTGAAAGTTTGTGCAAACACACAAATGTGGTGTTTAATAAACTGTAAAGCTTTGTTTATTTTTTTGTTAAAGGTTCACATTATACTTTGGTAACTGTGTAAATAAATTCATAGCAAAGATTTGTTTTAAATATTGAATGTAGAACAAAGATTTATTTGTAATAATTTCTACCCGAACGGAGAAGCTAAATTAATGTCAGTATATTAATTCATATCAACACAGTTGTGAAAGAAGACTGTTAATCAAAATGATGTTATTTCTAAAGTTACACATCACAACATCTGTGCTCTCGCAGCAACTTTCGCGCATGACTGAAGCAGTGAAGAAAACAGGTGACGGAACTTCCGGTCCGCTCACCGCTGGTTAAAGAGTCCAGAACTCCTGATTTCTCCAGGTATCTTCTAAACTGTTCCCGCTTCGTTTCTGGGGCCTGAAACAAACAGCTGTTATGATTCAACGTTAAAGTATCGGGAAACCCCGTTAACATGAGCTCCAGAGGCTTTAAGTTGACATAAAAGCTGAACATAAAGCAGGCAGGTCTCGTGGTGCGTTCACGGGCAAGCTACACACGATGCTAACCAGTTAGCTAATGCTACATTAGCATAAAAATGAAAACATAAACTAAACGTAACAATGTAAAAAAAATAAACACATATAGGTATTAGCGATAAAACAGAACAAGGCTCCCGGGATTTACTCACCCTGAAGTTAGCCATGAATGCTGCTAAAAGTGTCTGGTTTAAGGTGGCAAATATGAGACAGTTCCAAACTGAGCCTCAACCGTTAGCCTGTGGTGCTTCCGCCTCCAAACAAGTGGGCTGTTGCCATAGCAACGCCAGAAAACAAAAGCTGTTTCAAAATAAATACATAGAAACTGTAAAATTAACCCTGGAAGAGAAATGTAACTCTGAAATTACAGAAGTATTTTAAAGAGATGTATTCATGAAATACATGTAATTAAATGTATAATGTTGTAACGTTTTTAAGTCTAACTGCAGAACAACATATACTATTAAAACAGGATACAAATTATATTGAATATACTTGTGTTTTAAATTGCTGTGTTTAAAAAAACAAAAATACTAGAATATTTTCAGAAATATTGGGGCATTAAAAAAATCAAGCAGCCCAATATTTTCTTGTTAAATTTCGCTTGTTATATGCTCTCGAGTTTTAAATTACACTTTTAAAAGTCAACTAAAACGCAGCAAAAACTTTAAATTGTGACGATTATAAAGACAGTTCAAGAATAATTTGAAGACTTTTTTTTCAAAATTTTGTAAATTTTCAAAATATATGACAATATACTACACTATTAAAACTATGAAAAGACCGCTAATAATTACATTTATTTAAAGTGTTTATTCACATCTGTAGCGCCTCCACTACTTGTTAAACAGAACCACAAGAAGCCAATCACAAGCGTACACGTCATAAGGCTTAGTACAGATTAATAAATCATACCTTCCGCACTCACTTCCGGATAACAAACAAGGCGTAGCGCCTCTGCATGATTTGTAGATCTGTTTTCCCTGAATCGTTGTTCCTCATGTGACTCTTGAAAAACAAGCAGTTCAAGTTTGGGTCTCGCCGGGAGAAGCTTTATGTTTATTCGCTTGATTAGAATTATGAAGGTAAGCTTTCATTTTAGAAATACAGTTACAGGTTTTTACTGACCTGATACCTCTCAGTTACAGTGAAGTTGTATATTGCGGTTAGTTGTTCTCTTTTCAGATCTGGTCTCTAATGATAACTGAGGCTCTTCAGGTTTAATTTTTAGTTCAGTTTTCTGTCAGTGGATTGCATATTAAAGTTGTCTATTATAAGCCAAAATTTCCCAGTGTTCTGTAACTTTTTATTTAAGGAACAGAAGGTTCAAGTTAACGCGTTAACTTTAGTTTTGTATTTCACCAACACATAAGGATAAAACTCTCATTTGGGTGAAATTAACCTTAATATTTTCACCAGTTTTCAGGTTTGTGTTTTCGTGTTGCCAAAGTTGTACCTATGATGTCATCAGAAGGAATAAGCTTTTTTTAGGTAAATTAGAACGTTGTGGACAGGCGTAGTGGGGATCACGTGATGTTGTCAGTGATTATAGATCACCTGTTGCTCACCTGGGGATCTTAGTGAGTGGGTGATGGGGGAAGGTTTACTTTTTGCTGACCGCATCCATTTAGCACATTTTGTCTTTATTCCCTGTTTTTTCTACGGATCCGTTTTTATGCTGTGTGGACACTGTGAAGTTTTGGATATTGACAAAATAAATAAACTTAAATGCAACTTGGATTGCTTTTTTGATCAGCTGGCGCGTCAACAAAGATTCCCCTATTCAGCCGCTCGGCCACCTGGTTTGGCAGTCGCTAATATAGATTTTATTCTGATGAAATGATGACTTAGAGCAAAATAGAAAAATAAAACCTAAAACTGACAATTTAATGTTGAAGTGAGTTGGTTGATTTTTACAGACAAGTCTGAAGTGAGTCTTGCATCCTGAGGTATATTTAAAAACATCATTTTCCAGCGTCATGATTTTAAAAATCAGACCAGATAAGCAGATGTTTCCAAGTCAGAGCTTTATTTTGCTACATCCTCCTTGCTTCCTCTTATTGCTGCTAGTTTGTCCTTTTCACATGAAGTTCATCTGCATCTTGTTAAGAATTAAAAGATGAAGAACTTGATCTTAGCTCGTTAATTAATTCTTAGTCCCGAATTCCTGTGTCTGTGTAAGTGTGCAGAGAGAAAAGAGCAATCGTACGACGTCAGACTTCAGATATTCAGAGTTTTATCCAGAGAAAATCAATGCAAGAAGAACTTTACAATAATCATCTCACCTAGAATATCAAACGTCCAAGACATTACAGAACAGAGACAAAGAACTGAGTAAAAAAGACAAAAGTATAACAGAAGATGCATCCTCCGGGAAACTCTCACCCAGCACAAAGAGATTCCAACTTCTGCTGTAAACCAAATCATTTTATAGAATGCGTAATCTCATCATTTAAATATATGCATTAGGAGGGGTGTTCTTTCCTTTGTGTGGGCTGTCTTAATGTTAATTTTATTACCTCCTGCTCAAGAGCCCCAAAGGCAGATATATGGCCCGGCTCTTTTCGTACCTGCCGCTGTCCAGTTTGATATAGAGTGCAGCTGCAGCGCTATCTCTTCCCCAAGCTGTTTTTCACAAAAAACTCGTTTGTATTTTAACCAAGCTTGCACACAATGTAATGCTAAATAATGACTATAAGTTTGGATCTAATAAGTAACTATTTAAAAACATGCTTAAAGAAATATAGTTAATTCTAATATAGATAAAATTATTTATAAAAAGTTTTAAGATCCTAGTGAACTTTTGAACCATGCTCAGGAATTTGTTTATTGCCTGGCATATAGGCTCTTATCTCAAGAGATCCAAGGAGTCTAGGCCTGTGTTTTCTGTTTCTTCTGTCTGATCCTCCTTTTAAGAATTTATCTGCGTTTCAGAGATTGAGCCGTTGTTTTTAGTTTCATCTAAATTTATATGAACCTAGAGTGTACTTTAACTTTCTATGTTATATTTTATATGTGTCAAAGCTATCCTGTGCAGTATTGTGCTAACTTAAAATTCTATGTCAACAATCTCCAAGACAGAGATTCATTAATGCATTGATTGTTCCTAACAGGAATCCTCCTGATGCATTGCTGTCATCCTTGCTGGGACTTGCTTTAGTCACGTGAAAAATGATAAATATGTTTTATCGCTGCTTATATCTGATAGTGAATTAAGTAAACTATACAAACAGTTCCTTTAGATAAGTTTGATAAAATATAACTTACTGCAGTTTAATGACTCTGATTCCAAAAAGATGGATCTTTTTCTAGTCTTTCAAAGCTGTCTTGGTCAGCGGTTTTTCAAGGTTTTTGGAAGTATTTTTGAAAGTTTCTGCTTATTTTCTTTCTGTAGTAAGTCTGTCAATGTCTTTTCAGTAAATTATGAGGTTTCCCAGCAGCTCCTCCTGAATAAGGTTTATCTTCTTCCACAATTTTATTGTTTGTCCAAATGTTTTCCAGCAAACCAAGGATCCTTTTCTTCAGCAGTGGAGACTTGCACAGTGAGCGTTTGTAGAGTCCATTGTAGTTGAGTTCAGCACATGTTGTTTTTCATAACTAAAACTTGTTGCTGGTGTCTTTCCGGAGCTCTCAGTGAGGATTTCTTAACAACTGCTCTGCTTCTTCTGTAAATCCTTCCTGTTTCTTAGTTCCTTGATAAATAACAGTGAGGAACTTGTTGTACTTGAGGTTTAATTTGAATCCTTTTAAAAACTCATAAACACCTGATCACTTTCCCCTGATGTGTAAAAAAAGCAAAAATAAAGAGGATGTACTTTTTTTTCATTACTATGACTTTATCTACTTCCTGTTTTGCTCCAAGACATTTCAATAGTTCCTAATGAAAGCAAAGTTTAATTAGGAACGCTTTGTAAACCTAAACTAAATGTCAGGCTGCTGTCAAGGTGGTTCTGACCAGACTATTTGTTTCACTTGCAGTAGATTTTGCGTAAGTGCTGATAAATGTGCAGAAAGCAGGTAGTTTTTGTTGATGTTACAGTTTCACGTAATGAGACTATAGAAGTGAAACAGGCCCATGGCATCACCCAACCTCCACTGTGCTGATCATTGACTCACCTGGAGTTTTTGTTGTTGGAAAGTTTAGTCTGATTCGGGTGAAATCCCCGGAGAGTTGAGCAAACTTCACGTTTGTGACAGAAGAGTACCAGTAGTAAGTATGTCAGATGACAGCTGATGGTTGATATGGAAACTTGGTGGCTAAGCCTCTCACAATAATAATACAATAATTAATCGTATGATAAATCACAATCAGTTGATTATTAATATTTTTTGTTGACTTCATAATCCATTTTTATTTTTTCAGTTGTTTGTGTTTTTTATTTCAGTTTTATTTACTGTTTTTTGTTGTTTTATTAAATAAAATAACTTCCTGTTCCAGTGTAAAATGTTCCTTATGATGAAAACATTTATTAGCCTTTAAAAGGGCAAACCTGCATGATTATGCAGTGGTCAATATATTACTTAAAATGGTCTCAAATTGACTACTTTTTGGACAGTTCGTTATTGTCACAGGCCTGTTGGTGGCTCAGAGCTTCATATTTTGATGCAGTGATGTATGGAGATGTTTTTGCTCCTCGTTCTGCTTCGTTTGTCTCAGTTTAGACCAGTAGATATTTTTAAATTTTTCCCCCACTGAATAAAATTAAAAGTTGTATTTCTCTGCATTTTTCAGTGATGATGTGCTACTGGATTAAAGTTAGGTTTGTCTGAAGAGATTTTTACATCTCAAGGGTTTATGCGTCTGTCTTCATGATTGAGAAAATGTCTGCAGATTTTTATATGTTCTGATGAAAAGCCGTTTGCTGTTTAACTGTGAGCTTCACTGGATGCCACTTGTTATCCATCAGAACTGCTGAAGCTAAATGAGTTCAGATCACTGAAATAGGAAGTGGTACTGTGACACATCGAACTGCCCAAACATTTCTGCAGAGTTTCAACAATAATCCCGATCAGCTGAAACTCCGTCACACTTTCATCTCGCTTCCTCTTCGCTTTGTTGACGTTTTAATGACTCGTTTCCAGCTCACCATGGCTCAGTGACAGAACCACCGACCGATCCAGTCCGACTCAGACGCCTGCCATGCCGCTGCCCAATGGCTCCATCAACACCGACGAGAGCAGAGACACCGAGGTTCTGCTGGACACCGAGGTTCTGCTGGACACCGAGGTTCTGCTGGACACCGAGGTTCACCTGGACACAGAGGTTCTGCTGGACACCGAGGTTCACCTGGACACAGAGGTTCTGCTGGACACCCAGGTTCTGCTGGGGAAGGACGCCGGTGAGTTTGGTTGGTTTGTTTTAATCTCAATGTTAAAGAAAACAGCAGTTTTTTTCTGCAAAAGAGAAGCTGAAGATGGAGCACATTATTGTTATTGTTATTATTAGTATTATTCATTGCTTTTTATTTTTTTCTTACTGGAAATTTGCTAAGATAAAACAACAACAATAATAGAACAGTTATACAAATAAATGACTGAATAATTTAAAAAAATACAAGAAATGTATAAATATTAAAAACATTATAAGTGTTGTTGAATTACTTATTTTATTATTTAATAATGAGTATTTTTAATATTTATTCATTTAAACAAATTAATGTTTTTGAAAACAACAGAATCAGTTTTAGTTTTCAGGTCTGCATCACATTGAAGCAGGACGATGACAATGTCCCTGAACGCACCACGAGCTCAGAACAAACAAAACAAATAAGAATAAAATCCACTATCTTAGCGCAAAACAATAAACTGATAATAATAATGAAACCACCAGCTTCGAGCTGCCAGGTCCAAACAATACAGAAAGACGTTTTCACAGATTCTGCAGCAGAGTCCAGTTTTACCAAAGCGCTGTCATTGGGACTAAAATCCGTTCCCGTCCAGTTCCCCCTCGGTGCTGCTCGGCCCGGCTCGGCCTCGCCGTCCTCATGTTCCTGGGGATCTCCGTGGTCTACGGGCTCCGGGTCAACCTCAGCGTCGCCATGGTTGCCATGGTGAACGCCACGGACCCGCCCGGAACCACGAACAGCACGGCGGACCCGGCGTGTCCGCTGCCGTCGGGACCGGAAAACAGCAGCAGAGCCCTGCAGCAGCCGGACGGGGTGAGCGATAGTGTGCGGGCGCCCCCTGGTGGTCCGCCAGGTATTGCATGTACACGTCGCTTTATTTGCCTTGACTTGAGCTCAGTTAGCTTCCCTAAACATTGTGTTTAAAAATAGCAATGAATAAATAAAGCTTAACTATGTAACTTCTGTGGAATTTGTTTATTTACATATTGTTTGGTATGTAACAGATAAACTGTGAAAAAAGTTGAATTAACTAGAGGCAACCAATCAGGGCCAGGGGGCGGGGCTTAGCGCTGTCAGTCACAATCTCATATGGCGCTGCTACCTTTTCCCCAGACTCAGTTAGTGAGAAGTGTTCATTTTTACGACTTGGCTTGTTTGTAAAGCTCTGCTGACACGTCAGCACGGCTCTGGAGAGACATTTGAACAGACGCTGGTGTTTCTGTCCCCTGTTGACGGCTGATTGTGTCCCCACAGACCCCCCAGTATCCCTGGAACTCAGAGACTCAGGGCTGGCTGCTGGGCGCCTTCTTCTTTGGGTACCTGTGCACTCAGATCCCGGGCGGCTACCTAGCCGGTCACTACGGCGGGAAGATCTTCCTGGGTGTGGGCGTGTTTGGCACGGCTGTCCTCACCATCCTCACGCCGCTGGCTGCTGGGTGGGGGTCGCGCTGGCTGTTTGCTCTGCGGGCCCTGGAGGGCTTCGGAGAGGTAGGCCACCTGGTTCTGTGTTAGACTCTTAAAGGGCCGGTGTTACAGAGGGCCGTTTTATAGCACAAGTAGCTATCAGTTGCTGTGTGCTGTATAATAAATATCAAGTATGAGTGAAATTTTTACATCATAATTTAATGCCTTGAAATAGATTTTTTTATTATTATTCCTGGTGTTTCTGAAACTCCAGGAAGTTATCACAACATGGCTCCTCTGTTAACCCTTTAATGTTTTTACCAGCATCACACTGAGAAGTAACTCCGCTAATGAGCTCAGCAGATGTTTGCTAATTGCTGCTGGCTAGTCTGAAGGAGCTGCTTTGCGAGGTGGACGCTCGTTGACACGTAAACTGCTAACGAGGGGGAACTGTGTCCTCAAAGGACGTGCTTTGGACATCTGATTTGTTGCCATGAAAATGAAAGGATTTGTCAGACATTGAAAAAGACACCCAGACGTCTTTTGGCAATGAGTTCAAGTTTTTTTTTACATCTGGAAAATGAACCATTTCCAAAAACCTTCAAAGTGTAACGTCATAAATCAGAAGGTACTGCCACGTTACCTAGCAACACAAGCAGGACTCAAGCACATGTGGTCAGCTGGTTTTACCGCTGAATGCGCTGTACAATGGCTGTTGGAAAAGAGAAGTGTCTTGTTGTTTTTGAATTTAAAAACGTATATAACCACTGCTGCACATATTTGTAATATATAATTTTGTTTTCAGGGCGTGACGTTCCCAGCCATGATGGCGATGTGGACCCGGTGGGCTCCGCCCCTCGAGCGCTCCTTCCTGATCTCGCTGTCAGGTTCTGGGGGAAGCTTCGGCGCCTGCCTGGCGCTGCCGCTCACCGGTTACATCTGTGAACAGCTGGGCTGGCCCGCCGTGTTCTACCTCTGCGGTTTGTGGCAGAAACACGCAGAAATCGCCACCATTCAGCTCCTTTTTTATTAACGCTTCATGTCCTCGTCCCTCAGGAGGCACCGGGTGCCTCTGGTTCGTTTTCTGGTGCTTTCTCGTGTCCGACGATCCTCGAACTCACCGTCGGATCAGCGAACAGGAGAGAGATTACATCATAAACTCTATCGGAGCTCAGGTGAGATTCAGCATCCTGGCTCAGCTTTTTGTTTGTCACAGAAATAATTAATCAGATTAATTGTTTCAGCCTTATATTTTAAAATGTAAGCTTAAGAGGTTAAATAAAAAGTCTGCAGAATGTGCCATTGTTTAATCTGATTAATCGTCAGATTACTAATCTGCTTTTCAGACTAAATGTTGGAGAAATTTCCGGCCTGTGTTCTCCTCACTTCTCCTTTAGAGTTCCTGTTTCTGCTTTTTGCTTCTCAGATCTTATTGTTTACATGTAAAACAAAGTTTTTTTTATCAATACTGAATACTTTTGCTTGTTCATCTGTGTGTTGTTTTTCTCACAGTTTCCCAGAAAGGAGTTAAATTTGCCTGTTATCATTTCCCTTCAGGGCAAAGGTCACGGCTGGTCGCTGCCTCTTGTATCCATGGGGCTTTCCGTCCCACTGTGGACCATCATCGTCACCCAGATGTGCTCCAATTGGTCCTTCTACACGCTGCTCACCTCCCTGCCCACCTACATGAACGACATCCTGCACTTTGACCTGCAGTCGGTGAGTTTCTGCTGCTCCGTCGCACCTGATTAAAAAACTGAAACTTACCTGTTTTGCCCCTCATTTCCGATTGAGGAGATGTTTTTTTCTTTTACTTTTGGTACTTCTGGCTCACAGAGAATGAAAACCTGAAATTAAGTGTCTCAGAAAGTTGAGTGGAAGGAAAACAACCTGTAGCGGTGGTTTTCCTGCAGCCTTGTCAAAACTATGACTCAGAATTCATTCAAGAATCTTGGCTTGAAATATTTCTGAAAATATTTCCCTCTGTTTGCGATGAATCTATTTAATATCTGAGTTTCACTTTCTGAAATGAGGGACAGAAATACAGATTCTTTGTTTTTAACTTTTGATCGGTTGAGGGCGACCTTCATACTGGTACTGCCACAGTTTAGTGTTTTCTATGTTTTGGTCCAGAAAATGTTTTTAGTTTAAACTCAGAAGCAAACATTGATAGCTTTGTTGTGAAATCCCTGCTGTCCTCAGCTTAATGGCTCAGGAGCCAAAGTCTGTTGAGTGAAACGTTTCTGAATGTTTGTGGCACAACTTGAGTGATATTAAAATAAAACGTGGCTAATAAAAGCAAAATACTTTGAGTTTTTTAGGACTAAACGTTTTCCATTTGAGAAGATATTGGAAATGTTTTAAAAGCGTTCTTGCTCCATGTTCTGCTTTTTCTGATAACAGGATCAGTGAAAAATTTACAGAATATAAATTAGCCTTAAAATGTAATTAGCTGTTTCTGTTGGGTTCTGTTCTGCATTTTGCTGTGGTTTACAGATTGAATTTACTGTGCTGTAACATTTAATATTACCAGATTTTTATTGAAAACGTTAAGTTTATAATGAGTTGTAAGGACTTTGTTCTGTTTGCTGAGGTTCGTGTTGATAATTGCGTAACTTGTGTCTCAGAACGGCTTCCTGTCGGCGCTGCCGTACTTCTGCAGCGTTCCGGTCTCGCTGCTGTCCGGCGTGGTTGCTGATTGGCTCATCATGAGGCAGGTGTTCAGCATCACCAACGTGCGCAAGATCTTCACCTTTACAGGTCAGTGAGGTTCGGTTTTCCGCCTGAACAGCCTGGCTGCGGGGCTGCCATGAAGACACTCGTCTCCCTGCAGGCCTGCTGCTGCCGGCGCTCTTCCTCATCGGCGTCTGCTACGCCGGATGCAGCCACGTCCTCACAGTCACCTTCCTCACGCTCTCCACCGGCTTAGGAGGGATCAGCTCCGCCGGCGTCTACGTCAACCAGATCGACATCGCTCCCCGGTGGGTGGCCGCTGCCGTGGCAACCGTTTCAGCTCAAACATGGAGTCATGAGCTTTTAGCTAGCAGAGCTTTGCTAGCCCAAAACGTCCTAATGGCCAGTTGTAGCCCAGGTCTTTGGATGTTTTACCTGATGTCGTATGAAAACATCGTTGGAATAATCTGTAGAATAATCAGCAGGCTAATCAATTAGTCATCAGAATATTTAGTAGAATAAATATTAAATTAAATTATTGGTTGCAGCCCTGATCCTGATCCAGTTTGTGTGTGAGAAGAAAACTGGATCATTTGATGGCAGCAGAAAGCGTTACAGCCAACATAGGACGAAGACTCTATATTTTTATCTACTTATCTATCGTTTCTTTTCCTGGCAGGTACGCCGGATTCCTCCTGGGAATCACCAACACGTTCGGGACGATCCCGGGTGTCGTGGCGCCGATCGTGACGGGATACTTTACAGAAGATGTGAGTCTCCAAGAAATCTTGCTGCTGAAATACCTCCTGCTTTTCTGTCCCGTCTGGTTTCTGTTTGTTCTGCTCTAAACGTTTTTATTCCGAATGTTTTCTTTTGCTCTGTTGGGTTTATTGAGGCTCTCGTATAAAGATAAGGCTGTTTTATTGTATTATTAATCATATTTTAACTCCAGTGAGGCGTCAGCAGCGGGACGCTGGGTAGACTGACCTCTGACCTTTCTGCAGCACACCATGGCAGGCTGGAGGAAGGTGTTCTGGGTCGCTGCTGGGATCAACATCGGCGGCGCCGTCATTTTCACAATATTTGGCAGCGGCAAGATGGAGGCGTGGGCCGTCGAGGACAAGGAGGAGGAGAAGGCAGTCGGTCCAAGTTGAAGAAAAACCAAAGAGAAGCAGCGAAGCTCAACCTGATCAAGGATTCGTTAATCCACAGTCTGACCTCAACACACAGCTTTCACATCTTTAGCAACATTTTCTTCTTGGGGGAAGTTTACATCGCTTTCAAATCTCTTTAATTCATCTCTGATGTCTTGCCTTCGAATGATTCACACTAATCATAGAAGATGGCCCTGCTCAGCATTTTGAAGGTTTATTTTTGGCTGATTTTCACTCCGTATCAGTCGAGTTCCCAAACGTTTTCAGATGAATGCTGTCAGTTTGATCGCTGAGCCTCGCAGCGCAGACATGTGAATCATTCAGGAGTAAAAGTGGATGAATCGGCACAACGATGACACACAGCAGACCAGTTCACAAGTACAAGTTAAACCGTGTTGCTTTGCTCAGAGTGGAAATCAGGACCTTTAACAAAAACGTGTCATCCTTCAGTTGACCCAGAAAAATCCCAGAAATTCAACAGAAAATAGGATTTTAGGTGATTTCAAACTACAGGAACAATATCAGAAAAAAATGAATATTATTGGTCTATATAATGGTCTCGCTATGGTGTCCTGAACCAAGCTAACTCCTTTCACACGAGTTAGGATTAAACGGCTCTTACTTTATTTACGTAGAATGGAGTGAAACTGCCAAAACAGGAACAACATAAATTCAATAAATAACTTACTTTGTTTCTCACACATTAACATAAACGCTCATTTTTAACTATACATACAGACATTGCGTCGAAGAACTCGATCTGAACACGACATTCACAATATATCCGTCGGAACATCCGCTCTGCCGTTAACAAACAAACTGACTAAATAACGTAAAACATTTCCCTGAAAGTCCAGCAGGTGGCAGCAATGTGCCATGCAAAATAAACAGGTTACAGGACAGTCTACATTCTGCTAGTGTTGAAGAAACACAATTTTGTTAATCTGGTGTTTCGATTCTATAAGAAACACAATTAAATCACATGTGAATAATGTTATTGACAGATCACTAAAACTAATCGTAAACTGTCACATGAGATGTGTTAATATTTCTGCCATGGTGCTATCGCTCGTCAGCTCACCTGTCAGAGAGACGATAAACGTTTATCTGCAGCATTTTGGTGAAACTGTCGGCGTCGACTTTACAGAAAAACTGGATTTAACTATTTCAAATTTTGCTGGATGGTAAATTGTTTCAGAAGTTGTTTGATATTGTTTTAAGACCTTTTTAAGTAATGTAATGATAATAATGCAGAAACACATTCTTAAATATCAAAAAGCTTTAAAGTCTTATGAACATTTAACACTGGAACTGAAAGACATGTTATATATCCAAAATAAGTAAACAGAACACAAACAGAACTATGAAGTCTCTGTAAACTAAATCTGAGCATTTAGATGCTGAATTGTGGTGAAATCATGCAGGAACCGGATCATCTGGACTGAACATGAAACGGCTGCTGAACCGTTTCTGTCGGTTTGTTTTGCAGACAAACTGAAGCTGCAAAGATGCTTCACTGTCTGCAGATTTAAAGTTGAATTAATTTCAGGATAAAAATATTTCAGGCTTTAGTTAGTTTGTTTATTTAGATCCTCTTTGCTTATTATTTAGAGTTAATACATAATTTCTTTTTAAAGAACATTTTAAAAAGTTTTAAATTTATGTTGTTGTTTTTTTGTTTTCCAATTTATTCCACAATCAATTTGTTGCTTTGCTTTGGTCTTGGCACTTTTTATTTGACGTTTTATTTTTTAAATTGATGTTTTTGTTTTGTTATTTAACCCCAAACTGCACATAAGCTGCTTAATGTCTCAGTGTTACTGAGAACAAGACGAAGTTTGACCAAATGGAAAAACTGGATTTTTGTCGTTCATTTGAATGAAACTCTTCAGTCGGGACCAGATGAAGCACTTTCTCCAGGCACTTTTTGTTTGTTTTTACTTCAACGTTTTAATATCAGGATAAATGTAATGTGTGTTTTTATATTACAAATCCAATTAATTTGTTTTTATAAGATATAAAAATATCATTATCTCTGCAAATGTTTGGAGAGAAATAAGTTGCACATTGATGATTCTAAATGGGTGTAAAATGTACTTCTGTGATCTGAAAAAATGTAAAATATATTTAGTTTTTTTAAAAGATGGGATTAAAAGAAAGATAAAATTGCTGAAGATCATCAGAAATTCTCTAAAATGTGTGGTTTCATGTACGTATGTAATCATATCATCTTTATACTTTAAGTTTCAGAAACGGATCCAGTTGTTTAATTCTGGCAGTAACGTTTTTATAATTCTCACAGTTTGAAGATAAATGCTCACATTAACCTGTTTTTATGTTAAAAAATGTGTAGTTTGTATTGACATCTTTGCTCCTGAAGCTTCAGGGAAGCAGTTACTGTGAACAACCACTAGGTGGCGCAATGCAATAAGCAGCAGTTTCTGTCGTGTCACAATAATATTATTATTTGTGCAAATTAATGGCAATAATTCTTATTTGAAGCTCCTGAAACTATCAGATCTTGTATTTCTGTATTAATTTTGATAATTTGGCAGGAAATAAATTTCTTGATGACATATCTTCCTGATCAGTTAAGGCAGTTTCTGCCATATAAATAATACTTTGATAGTTTTATTGGAAGAGTTCAGCTTGCAACGCAAAAAGCTGCTCACAATAGCTTCAATATTTTAAGTGTATCACTGATTAAGTATTTCAGTGTTATTTTTGTATTTTTAAAAAAGGTGCAATAACATAAAATAAAGCCCAGATGATCTACTACTACATAAATAATGTAAATATAATTTAGATTTTAATCAAAATTTTTGTCTTGAAAACTTTTTATCCAAAAAAAGTAAAACACATGGACCTTACAGATTATTTTATTCTTTAAGAATAAAAAGTATCCTGGATAAACAGGATGTTTTGTTTCTTAATGAAGGAACTTTGTGTCAGCATGAAGATTACTTTATTATTCATGAATTTATGAGTAACAGGAATAACAATAAAAATAGAGGACTTATCTCTTATGACTTATCTCTTCAAATTGAATCAAGTGAACCTTGTGAGGTTTCAGCTTTAAAGCAACATGTCATGTTTTTGTTTGAGTGCCTCCAGAAAACACATATGACCTTTGAACTCTTCAGCTTCAACAGACATTTAGAAAAGATTATTTAAAACCTAAGGCAAAAAAAAAATTAAGTTTGTGAAATGTATCTAGATTCATTTTCTATTACCACAATAAACCCAATTTTAAAGCCATTTCCGTTCATTTTAATATTTTTTTAGAGTTAAATATAATTTCCTGGACGGTTCCGGACCTTTGACCTGCGGTCACCGCCAGGTTTGTCCGCGGTTTCCGGTCTGTTTGCTGCTGCGAGGTGTTCTTGTCAGAACTTGCATCAGTCGCCTCGCGGAGTCACCCGGATATTGATGACGTCAGCCGTTGCCTGAGAACACAGCGGTGCAACATAAAATGCCGTCCTACCCACAAAGCGGTTCCCAGCGTGTTTTAAGGAGGATTTTAACGAAAATATTTCAATTTTGTCTCATAAATTTGCGTTAAAAATTTTATATTTATTGACAGACGCTTTATTTAACATTATCGGTGCTTATTTCGTTAAAGGAAAGAATCAATGTTGCTACATTCACACAAATGTAGTGAAAATCATCACCAGTTTGTTGGTGAATCTTCATGTTTTATCATGTTCTCGTGTGATTTCTTCATGTTTTTATCCTTCTTCTGTAGCAAAGTAATAATAATAAAAGTGATCATTTAAAATCTGACCTATATTCAACTCCAATAATTTCAATATTTAGGTTTTGTGACGTCACTGGGGACATTTTTGCTCAGTAATTCTAACCCCTTTCAAGATAAAGTTTTTAAAGGAATCCACAAATTTAACTTAAAAAAATCACAGATAAACTAAAAAGCTCAACTTAAAACTCTTAAAAATGACATAAAAATACATAAACCTATAATTTTTTTAAATTACATCATCTACCATGTGGAATCCTGATATGAATTTGCTAACATTAATTCTCCTCCCTTTATTTTATTTTTCCAAGCCTGTAAACATGAGGTAAATGTCATCGCAAACACCTGGAAGAGAAATCAGTCAAGAAAACAAACTGTCCTTTAAATAGTTTTTTACACTCTGAAGTTTGTTTAGTTGTTTTGTGTTTATTTTAATTTTACTTGTTGTGATCCTTCTGGGATCTGATAAATGAAGAGTTGCTGGAATTCAGTGAAACTGTCTCAGCATCATGGACCATGAATTATGAACCAGAGATGAACTTGTGAAGCTAATTTAACCACTTTTTCTTTCTGAATTTTGAAAAGTTTCATACAGTCAAATATAACTAAAAATGAGAATTAGGTTCTAAAAGGAAAGTAGAGAAAAAAGAAACACCATAAAAATTTATTGCTGTAATTTTTCAAGTAAAATGAGGATATATGTGGAGATTATGAATCTTGTGTTTCATTTGATGAAACATCTCAACACATTTTCACTCACAGCTGAAGAGAAACATCGAACCAGAGAGGGACTTTGCTCTCTGGTGCCACACAAACCACCTGGAACTCAACACCTCTAAGACGAAGGAGCTGGTTATAGACTTTGGGAGGTCCAGACCAAAGCCGGACCAGTCGTACTAGAGGGAACGGAGGTTGAGGTCGTGGGCTCCTACAAGTACCTCGGGCTGTGGCTGGACAGTAAACTGGATTGGTCAAAACACACCAGCCACCTGTACGGGAAGGTGCAGAGCAGGATGTACTTCCTGAGGAGACTGCGGTCCTTTAACATCTGCAGCAAACTGCTGTGGATGTTCTACCAGTCAGTGATCGCCAGTGTCCTCTTCTACACCGTGGTGTGCTGGGGAGGCAGCACATCCAAGAAGGACACGTCCAGACTGGACAAACTGATCAGGCGTGCCGGCTCTGTGGTCGGCATGAAGCTGGACTCTCTGGTGACGGTGGCAGAGGCGAGGACACTGAACAAACTGCTGGACATCATGGACGATAGCAGCCACCCTCTACACGCCGTCATCAGCAGCCAGAGGAGCCTGTTCAGTGACAGACTGCTGCTTCCCAAGTGCCGGACCAATAGATTCAAGAACTCCTTTGTCCCCCACGCCTTCAGACTGTACAACTCCTCACTGGGGGGTCGGAGGTGACACAGGACAGAGGGAAGAAGGAGTAGTTTTTCTACAAATGTGAACTCCATATTTATCAGGCCAAACCATACAGTGCAATACCATATCACTGGTCAATCTATCCACCAAATTGCTATAATTTCCTTTTGTTTGTATTTGTATTATATTCTTTGTTTTGTATTTAATTTGTATTTCTTGGTATTATTTTGTGTATGCTTACTGTGTGCACATTTTTGCCCGTGAGCTGCTGGTAACTATAATTTCCTGAGAGAGTCTTCCTAAGGGATCAATAAAGTCAAGTCTAAGTCTAAGTCTCTAAGTTCAGTCCAAGTGATTCCGACCAGAACCGGGGTTAACGCTCAGAACAGTTGAGCTTAACAGCGGCACGCCTCTCATTCACAGGACAATGCAGATCATGGCTTTAACATGGAAAAGGTTCAATCTGAGGCTAAGTGGCTCCTGCAGTGTGTTGCTAATGTGCATTATTTGCATTGACGGCCTCCCTGCAGCTCTGCACAGGTCACCATGCAGGCCGCTGACGCTGCAGCTCTCTGCAGGGACGACTCCAGCGTTTCTGAACGCTGGCAGAAACCAGAACCAGCTCCACTCAGGAGAACATCTGCTGCTGTTTATAAGAACATACTAACTGGTTTTGTTTGATGCTGCAAAACATTTTCTTGCAGTTATCTGAATTAAAAATTAAATTCAAAATACTTTACTGATCTCAAATTAAATGTTGTTGTAGCTCATACTAATTCAAATTCAAAAGTTGTTGCAGATTGTGATGATTCAGCTCAAATTCAAATGAAATATTTTCTGTTCAAAACAGTCTTTACAATAGAGTTTGTTGATTCACTACGTATTTGTAGAAATTATTCAGCAAATACTGAGGGTGGCATCCAGTAGAGTTGTAGTTTGTGCATTTGTTTTATCACAATAAAATAAAAACAACTGCAAAAACATAACATTTTACGAAACATTTTAGCCGAGCTTCTAGTTCAAAGATCTTAGCAGATTTTAAGTTATTAATTATTTAATATTGATGAAAAAGTTTGTATTCCACTGGCAGATTATTTCACTTATAGTGTGGGAAAAATAACCTCTTATAAGTGAAATAATCTGACAGTGTTTGATTTCATCAATATTTAGGAATTAAAATAAACTTCTATATTTGCTGAAAAGCCACTTTTAATCTAGTTTCGTCTTATTTCAAGTGCACTGAGTTATTTGCATTGGAAACTCAGCACAAACACTTGGTGAGATTTTGTGTCTTTGCTGTGCAGCTTGAAATGAAAATGGATGATAATTCAGCTCCCTGTTACCATGGCCACCGTCCAACATGACTCATCCTCGATGTGCCGCTGCGTCTTTTCACACCGTAACGCCTCCGTGTCTCTGCGCCAATCGCTCGCCGTTCTCCTCCTCCTCCTCCTCCTTCGCAGCAGCAGCAGCAGCAGCAGCAGCAGCAGCAGAGTTTTCGCCGCTGCAGTGGCATGATGGGAAGCCACCATCACACCGGGGTCACGCCTCACCTGCAGAGAAACGACAGGCAGGAATCAGGAATCAGGAAATACTTGACATCCATCCATTTATTCACTAGAGATGGATTTGAGCTGTGGGGAGAAGACGAGTTCCCCGAGAGAACAATTTATCACCAATTACTGACAGAAAATAATTAGATTTTGTTTCATTTCTTATGGTCATGACAGAATAAATAAACATGTGAGTTTATAATGTCTTACAATGAAACAAAATCAACATGTAAAGTTAGTTTAAAGCTGAAAAGACAGTAAAATCCACCTAAATGTCAGCTGTCACTGCTGTAATCTAGATATTTTTCGAAAACTTTGACCTGATGTGAAAACTAAAAACTTCTTCGTCTTAAAATTAAACATTTCTTTTAGAATTTGAACATCAGAATTACTGATTTATAATTATGATTTTTGCATAAAGAATGCTGCTCACACCTGCTCAGGTCCAATCAGTGACTCAACATGAATGCGGCGCAGCAGAGCATGAATCATGTTTCCTGGGAGCGAAGGCTGGGAGATGTTTCATGTATCTGATAAAACGTTCCTCCGCTCTGACCCTGGGAAACCGGGTAAAGCGCTGCTGTGTTTCTGACCCTCCAGGACTCCTGCTCCGCCCCAACGGGCCTCAACAGGCTTTTATTGGAGTCGGTCAGAGTTTCGTACGAACTTCTGACATTTTCTTAACTACATTTTGGAAAAATTTATATTTACCAAAACTTGAACACAACTTTATATTTCTGATGTAATTTTTCAGCCTTAAAGGGGCAGTATTATATGTTTTCCAGGCACATTTTTATAGCATGATCAAATGTCAATGTTACCTTCAGTTGCTATGTGCAACATGGGCAACCGCCCAGGGCAGCATATTGAGAGGGGAGGCATAATATCCCATC